AATCTATGATATTGTAACAAGGAAACTTGTTACAGTGTCATGGATCTGGTATACTCCAAAGGTTCTTTTTTTCGGTTGAGTATTGTAATAAGGCGTTACGATTCAAATGCTCTACGTCCAATTCGTAAAAGTTCCGATGTATATTTTTATGTAATTTTCGTATATATTTGACTATTCATCTTAGGAAAGTTGGCATTAAATAAAAGAAGAAAACGTTTCACCAATTTTTCCGGAACCAATGATATCCCCGAAAATTCTTTATGTTAAAAAGTAATTCAACTAGTTTATATTGTATATGCCTACTTGTCCTCTTTAATTAGTTATTTGTTACTGGTTATTTTCATAATTTTAATAGCCCATGATTAATTCTTATTACTTGAAAAAAATTCATAGACCTCTGCAATTCCGATCTGGAGATCCAGGACTAACGACTAGAGGTCTAAATAATCCGCGTTTTTCCTGGCCCGTACTCGCTCACCCCTCTTTTGCTGGAGATCATGCGCTCGGCCGGCCGTGCCAACCGGTTACGAGCCCTCGGTCGCCGGCGACCGACCGGCTCTGCCGGGCGTTCGGTTGGCAATAACCGGCCAACTGCGTTCCAGCCAATAAACACACAGTACGCATAAACATAAACATAAACGCACTTCCGAGAACATTTCGGATGCTATGTTCCAGCAAAAGAAAGGAATTCTGGATGCTTTTTTAATAAACGATCAACAATTTCCGTTGTAAAATTTAATTTCTAATTGAAGTATTAATTATAATTTTTATTTAATATTATTCACACCTGCAAAACTAATTTCAACTTCCAGGCTCCCAGGAGAATCTGCAATTTTTGGAACTATTTAAGTTCTTCCGGAAGGAGTATTTGTATGTTTATAGATTGGATAGATTTATAGATTGAAATTTCGTTCTTTGTAACGAATAGTCTAGATATTTAGGATCTTTTTATAATGAAGATGTTTAAAATCTTTTGGAACATTTGCACGAATTAGAAAAAAAAATAATTCTGATAAATTTTTAGTCTTTCTTATTTTGAGGCGTATTTCACTTTTTAAGCCTTTTTTCTTGCAATGTATTCCTACTCGTATTTTTTTCTAGTCTTGGTTAAAAATGTTTAAACCTTTTTTTATTTTTACTCGATTATTCAATTGGTATCGAATCTCTATTTTTGTCTAGTTCTAGACTGAATATGTCAATTGAGTTTGAATACATTGTGCATCTTCAGAGATCAAAAGCTCGCTTTATTAGCTGTCCTTCAGAAGTAAAAAAACACGATGGGTCGTTCGTGAACAGTGCATCATGGGGGAGCACTGGGCTCAGATTCGTGATGCAACTATAACACTCGGACTCCCGAGAGCAAGTCGATAACCTCAACTTCCTTCTCTGATATCTTAGTGACCCAGATGTTCTTCCGGAAAAGTAAGAGAGGCTATGTTAATTAAAAGAATTTAGGTCTCTTTCGTATACCAATATTCAAGAAAGTATAACATTTGTTTTTGTCATTTTAGACTTAAAATTACAATAATATATATTTCTGTATTAACTAACAATGTTTTCAATTTATTTTCCCTCATTACATAAAAAAAACAGCAAAATTTAGATACAAGGATAATGAAATATTTCAGTGCTTTTCCTTGCCAATTGTGTATTTTTATAATACGTATCCAGCTTATTTTTAATTTTTATGCTTTTCTATGCGTCTAAACTTAAATTTTAGTGAATTATACGATATCTAGTAATGAGCTAAAGGTACTTTTGGAATTATCGTAAATAAATTAGAGGTTGTTTGATTCCAAGCAAGATATTTGATAGCATTATCAAGTGTCCGGCCAAGGGTTATTTAAACAATGTATTTGAATATTGTATAATAATTAACAACATAAAACGTTTCGGTTCTTTTCGCTAGAATGCAGAGTCCGTCTTACGATCCATTCATAAAAGGCACATCTGCTAGTGCAGCATCAATTAAGAATTCAGTAAAGTCGTAGTGCTCCTAAAACGATTGCTCCTAAAATGCTTGGTATATTCTAAAAGCTAAAACGTAAATTTCGGAAACTCCTGTAGCAGTAAGACGGAATAGTACATACAATGTTCCAGGAATGTTTTAAGAATTATCGGTTTAATTACATACTGCGAGTATTTCTGTAAGAAACGCCATCTCAGCAAAGAAAACATAGACACATATTGTCTGTGTTAGTTTACTATGTGATATACCCTTGAGGTATTGCTAATAATTGACTGAATGAAGGAATACAGAATGGTTCAAGATAAATGATAAAAACTTTTAGTAGATAGGAGTCGACTTAACAAAAGATGGTAAATTAAGGATGTACATTTAACCCTGATCAATAGACATCCTGCACTGGATTGGCAGGTACTCTTTCTACCGCAGCAGAAATCTCTCAAACGCCAATGCAGGTGTGTACCTCTCAAACACTGGTGCAGGATGAGTTGCTTGCCAATAAGTGGCATAATGTCTGAAATTTCACTTTCTTGTACACATCCCACCACGTGTTTTCTAGTAAAACATTTCCCCTTTAACATTTGTCCTGAGTCGTGTCCAGAGAGCAGTAGGTGTGAAGGGGCCGGCAGTGGGCATTGGACATGAAGGCTCCGGAGTGTGCGCAGTGGGCAGTGGACGAGAGGGCAGCAGTGTGTTAGAGGGCGCTGGTGGGCGTGTTTGCTGTTGGCAGTGGGCGTGAGTGCGCTGGCGGCGTGTGCGCAGAGGGTAATGGGCGAGAGAGCGCCAGCGTGTGCGCAGTGGGCAGTGGGCGTGAGGGTGCCGGTGGGCGTGTGGGCAGTGGGCTTGAGGGCGCTGGTGGGCGTGCGCGCAGTGGGCAGTGGGCGTGAGTGCGCTGGCGGGCGTGTGCGTAGTTGGCAGTGGGCGTGAGTGCGCTGGTGGGTGTGTGCGCAGAAGGTAATGGGTGACAGCGCGCCAGCTTGAGCGCAGTGGGCAGTGGGCGTGAGGGCTCTGGTGGGCGTGCGCGCAGTGGGCAGTGGGCGTGAGTGCGCCGGAGTGTGTGTGTGCGGAGTGTTTGAGTGCGCTGGCGGGCGTGTGCGCAGGTGAGGGCCGGCGCGGCGACGGGCGCCACTGCGACCTGTGCGGCTCGTCGGCGCCCAGCGTGCGCTGCGACAAGTGCGCCAGCCAGAACTTCTGCCTCTCCTGCGACGACATGTACCACCGCCACCCCAAGCGCCAGTCCCACGTGCGCAAGGTACGTGCTCTCTCTCTTTCTCTCTCTCTCTCTCTCTCTCTCTCTCTTTCTTTCTCTCTTTCTCTCTCTCTCTCTTTCTCTTTCTCTTTCTCTCTCTCTCTCTCTCTCTTTCTCTTTCTCTCACTCTTAGTCACTCTCTCTCACTCTTTGTCTCTCTCTCCTCTCTCTCCTTCTCTCTCTCCTTCTCTCTCTTTCTATCTTTCTTTCTTTCTTTCTTTCTTTCTTTCTTTGTTTCTTTGTTTCTTTGTTTCTTTCTTTGTTTCTTTCTTTGTTTCTTTCTTTGTTTCTTTCTTTCTTTCTTTCTTTGTTTCTTTCTTTGTTTCTTTCTTTCTTTGTTTCTTTCTTTCTTTGTTTCTTTCTTTCTTTGTTTCTTTCTTTCTTTGTTTCTATCTTTCTTTGTTTCTATCTTTCTTTGTTTCTATCTTTCTTTCTTTCTTTCTTTCTTTCTTTCTTTCTTTCTTTCTTTCTTTCTTTCTTTGTTTTTTTCAATCAAACTCTTCAGCACAGATAGAATAATCAAAAATAATATCTCCAGTAATTTCAGATGGAAAAAAATAATATGGAATTAATTCCTTTACCGTTTTGGTTTAGGAATCATTGATTCCCCTAGACCTTTTCTTTTTAATTATTAATTTCGTCACTGCCTCTTTTTCTCTGAACTTTGCGCCGAGACCCGGTGCGCTGTTGTATACTCCATTCCTATCTCTTGTGAACAATGCAATTCCGACAGCCAGTTGACGAGGTCGATCACGAGTCTGGGCTAAAGAAACTGCCCTCCAATTTCGTCAATTCACAATTTTTAGTTCTCATCGATTGTATCTGAAAAAAGTATATTTCGGGAGTACTTACAAGTATCCTTAGCTTTTCAGCACTTAATGAATTAATTAGCTTACAATTGAGTTATAGTGGAATCATTCTTGAGCAATTTGCTTCTAAAACATCTTGAGAAGAAATCTTTGTATCTTTTAAAAATTGAACGTACTCAAAACGTAATTACACTCACAATAACATTTATCGCGCAATTATCAGTTTTTCACTGACACAAACTTCGCATAGTGCATGAAATTAAAAGAGACCGTTGTCACAAACTTTTACACCAAGTTGCACCACTCACATTCGTCCAAGGAAACAATATTGTCCGTGTTCTCGTCCATTAATATACGCATTCTTTCACAGAGTTCACGGTGTTAGGAGGCGATGAGAGAATGAACAAGGGATGGAACCCAACAGCATCAACGAGTTTTAAGCATAACTAGCTGTATCTTTGCGATTAAATTACACAAAAGGTGTAACGTTACAACAGAAAATACTCGTATTGGTAAAATCGAAATTCCCCCCCCCCATGAAATTGGTTTATGTTTTTTAGTATTTATTGTCTAACAATAAGATTAATGTAATGATGGAGGTTTTACAAATTCTGGAACTATAAAATCACTATTCACTGTGAACACAAAGCAAAACATGTTTCTGAAAATGTAATTGAATTCGTTTTATTTACCAAGATCTGCACTTGTAATGGACTACAGCCAAAAATCCTTCTATGCACCTTAATTTAAAAACGCATTGGATCACATGCCATAGTAGTCACTGATTTTTTTGTAAAAAGACGAACGTTACGGAGGATTGCTGGACATTGCATTTTGACATCACTAATCTTTGATTTGAAAACACGCAACTTTGAACTTAAAAAACTCGCTATCTATACAGCACTAGCACACCCTTGGTCGCGCTAGCCCAAGACCTACAAAGGTTGAAGATCTCGTTACAATCAAAGGAGGTATTGAACAAATGACGGCCGAAAAACGTACATTCTATAATTGTAGGGATTTTATTAAAATTTAGTGTATATACCTGTTAATTATATCAAACGATAACGCAGCTAGGTACCAGTGTCTTTCATTAAAAAATCATGACCGCTAGTTGAGTTGAAGTTCATTTTTTTAACGAAAATCTTTGTTCTAAATATATAGATGACCTCCGGTTTAAGTGTTCCTGAGTACACAATACTCGTAACTTCTCCGATTGGTAAGACCTCCCTCGATATTTTCTTGCTCCGGTGTGTGAACTGCGAACAGCGAGAATTATCTCTGGTGGAAAAAAAGAGACCTCAATCTTCTCAGTTAGATGAACTAATGTGTGTTTCATTTTTCTGCGAAGTGCTTTGTTTCTGCATAGAACGTTCATGAAGATTTTTATTCTCCTGTAATGCCCAGAATGTTGTGCTTAAAATGAATCAATGGGCTGAGGATATTTCTAAATATTTGTGAATTGATGGAATTTAGACGTATATCCCGCACGTCAATGCAGTCATGCCTACACCTCGCCAGCTGGCAGCCAAAATTGCAAAGCCCTCGCTGTTCTCAAATGACGCTAATGATATTCCGAGTCTGCAACAGCGTTTTACGTCTTAGAAATGTGCATAAAACTTCGGTGACATACAGCTGTGACGAAATTGGAAAAATACAAAACAAACCTTTCTGTGGAATGCATATTTCTGAAGCCCGTTTCACACGGTCATTTTTAATCGGTACAGAAAAATGACGGACCAGACAGGATGTAATTATGTACAGAAAAATGACGCATCTCGTTTGACTATCGCACTCCTGTCGTCACTTTTCAGAACTTTTCATCGTTTGCATATGGTGCGATTTATTCCTTTTGTGCAGTTATGGTTGCGTTGTAATGTGAAGTGGTTATTATTGTGAAATATAAAACAAGTATCGATACTAATCTCTTCTCCTTCTGTGCTGAGTCCCAAAATAAGCCAACTTAATTTGTAGCCACAGATGCGACGTTCAGCTGTTTCATTTTCATCATGATTACGAACAGAAAACGAAACGAGTGAATAAAACGCTAGATCTCGTTTATCCAGTTTCGATACCAAAACAAAACCGCGTAGAAACGAACATCCCTTTCTCATCCATTTTCTGAACAGAAAAATGACCATTCAAATATCTAATAGATTCCAGATGTATTTGTATTTAGCCATTACATGTCTCATAAAGGGCAATTGTCCTCGGCACCGTTAGATCCCGGAGTTTCTAGACCCACCCGTCACCCAACCAGGAACCCGCGATGTCTCGAATTCGTCGAATCTTCCGTATTTCACGTAGTTAACGGATAGCGACGCCAGTTTCGCGGTCGTATCCTTTCAATAGAACAATTCTAGCATTCCTCTGGATGACCGAGGGAAATCACGAAATCCCCGGTCAGGATGGCCGGCACGGGGGTTGAACCCGGGCCACCCGACGTCAGCGCGCTAGGCCCTGCGCCACTTCGCTGGGGATTCCAGATGTGACAATATAATTGCAATATAATTGCATAATCCAAAGTAAGTGACTGTTTCACTGGTGGCCTCTAGAACATATTTTTTTGCTCGTGCTTATTAATTTTTAGGCACATAAAAAATTAGGAATTAGACCGGCATAAAACTGACCGTGTGAAACGGGCTTAAACCAGAAAGGCATAACTTCGTCGAACGAAGAGGCGAGTGTGAGCAGGGCCGAATTTACCTACAAGCAAAACAAGCAGTTGCTTGGGGGCCCCCATTCACCAGATTTAGGCCCATTCTGCAGTGAAGAGCAGACAAAAAAATTATGTAAAATGTATTTAATGTAAAAAAATGTAACACAAGTAAAAATTTTTATCAAAAATTATTTGTCTCTGAACAGAAAGTACTTGTACTATAATACATTTTTTATTTAATAAAATGGAGCTATTTTTTCGGGGGGAGGGGGGGGGCTACACAGTTTTGTGCTTGGGGGCCCGCACTACCTAAATCCGGCCCTGAGTGCGAGGGTGCGCGCGTGTTGCAGGCGCTGGACGCGATGCGCTGCAACTCGTTCCGTCCGCCGCTGCCGCCCAAGGGGGAGACGGCGCCGGCGCCCGTGCCGCCCCCGCGCCGCAACAAGCGCCCGGGCAGCCGCGCCGGCAGCCCGCTGCCGCCCCGCCCCGACCAGGTAACCCCCTCGCCCCGCCCCTCCTGCGCCATCTGCTGACTCTCCCCCACCCACTACCCCCACCTACCCCCACACAGCTAAATATCTTATTTCATGCACCACCCCGTCAATTGTTTTGCCTTCTTCAAATATTAACTACACACGTTATGATTACGTTTTTGAGATAAACAATGGAAGAGCTAAAAATATATATTCCTTATGAAAAAAAAATAGATTACAATGTATGGTAATAATACACAGGATGAGGATCAGTAATCTATCGATTACTGATCGTTTATTTGAGAATTTTTATTTTACAGTAAAAAATTAAAAGAAAGATTGACGTTTTGTATTATTACCATATATTGTGCTGTGAAGCACCATGATAAAAAATTTAGCATTTGAAAAAAATGTTATGTAAAAATCGTTTATTTGTTGTATATTTATGCATATTTGTAAGTTTGTATATTTTGTTATGTAACTAGTTTCTTCTGTATTGTATTTCTGTAAAGCATTCACTGAAAATCACACCTCTTCATTCCTTCAAAATCTGTTGATTGTATGACATTTTAAGACAAATTGTATTGTTCAAGATTGGTCAAAAGTGTTTATATATATAGTTGAATTTCAATGTATATGCATTATTTTAAAAATATGTACTATATAAATGTTATGTTAGTTCTTATGAAGTGGTCTTTTGTCAATGAAATCCAACCATTCTCCTCCAGATCCATATTTTTTCTGTATTGTTTAGCATTTGGAGTAAGATATTTAGCATGCATGTCAGAGTTTGTCATGGCAAATATTTAACTGCAAGCTTGAATTTACAGGAAATAATCAATATTCACGAAAGAATAAGAATGGAAGATTGATGGGTTTCGTGTTTTTTAATGTTGTGAACTTTCATCCTTCTAATAGACTTTATTCTTGATTTAGCACCGCCATCTTTCCTGATTTCTGTTAGTTTCCTATTTATATGAACATTCTCATAATTAATTATTATTTAAATGTATTAATATCTAACACTTAATACTTTTAAACTAATGACTATGAATGAATGAATGATATGTATCATTGTTAAAAATATTGAAGCACTTTAGTCAAAAAGTGTTGTGTTATTTGGCATGACTATCCGTAATTCAATATTTTATATTTTAAGAAACTACGATACAAATCATTTCACTTGTCGACACGATTGTGTGTCTCCTTGACTTGTCTTATGGCCTTTTAGAATATTAGTGGCATGGGCTGTGTTTCGATGGTTCTCACCGCGCACTGAGTATGACCTAGTCGTGTGCTACGGACGTGACCAGGACGGAACACATGGCTAAGCCGAAGGTTTGTCCACAGGATGTAATGATTTTGTTGTCTTGTTCGCATCAGGGTCCCACATTGCCAAAGAAGGAATTCTCTCTGAAGGATAAGATGGGCAGCTTGAAGCGACTGATGGGCACTCGGCCTTTGCCACCCACGCCAGGAGGCAGCAGCAGATTCCAAAGTAAGTGACAGTTGCACTAATTGCTTCTGTGTGGCTTCTACAACATTTCCTTCGCTCCCGCTTTGCTCACAATGTCTTATTAACGTTTTTTTAAAAAATGAAAATTAGGCATTTAACATTATGTATTCTATACATAATACACGAGGCGTGATTTAGACTATTCAGTGATAGACGAATCAATGTTAATGTTGAAGTACGGAGTGGGTAGTCTTTGTTGTCAATGATGGGTTGGTAGAAAAAGTGTACGAAAAAAAACATGAAAACAGATGGTTCACAATATGAATGCTTTGTGATGAGTTTGTCGCAAATCGCAGCACCGTTTTCGCAAAAAAAAAACGATGTTCAGAAGAGGCTGTCTTCATTCTTTCATGAAGAGGGCATAGAAAAAGTTAAGTTTTCCTCCATGATCAATGTCTAAAATATGGTGACAACTATGTAGAAAACGAGTTTAAGAAATGCTCTTTCATTTAAAAAAACTTTGATTTAAAAAACAAATGTTTATTCGTTTTTTTCTCCACAGCAGCACTTACTTTAAAAACACAACTCTCTCACCAGATACTCTTGCAAATAGGATACTTTTCACTGACATAGACAATTACTAGGGGCAATATTTCATCCTTTTAAAAATGAAATTCAATTTGATTGTGATACTATCTCAAAGTCAGTAAAGTATAATAGAAGATGGCCGATAATTTTTGATAATACAATTGTTTTCAATGAAAAGTGTGTTCAAATATGGTCTCCATATTTTCACTTCAAAAATATTTTAGGCTTTTTACTACAACCTGATCATCTCCGGAATATGAAGACTCTGAGGCATTCAATTTTATTTTCGAGATAATGGCGAACATTTTTATGATAGTCTTGTATGGAGCAGAAATAAAAACGTTAATTTAGAGTTCTAACTTCGAGGGAAATATTCTTGGAAAATTACTTACCCTCAAGTTTTAAGTATTTTTCATTGTGATTAGTTAAATATTGAGAAATAGGCTGTTTTTTTAATATTTCATTCAGGCTGCATACTTTTACCGGGTCTGTGTTAATTTAAAATACCCAGATACTGGCAATTACTTCGCACAAAAGGAAGAATGACAGAAAAGTTTAGCAGAAAAGTACAACATATACAACTTGTATGGAAATAAAGGGATTCGCCACCAAAGGCCTATAATCATTATAACGCCACACTCACAGACGCTTGCTCGCGCTAGACCAAGATGTACTTGAAGTGCGGAGGACTTGAACGTGTTAACCAATCAACGTAATGATCAAATCACGACAGATAAGTCTTCATGTATTAATTTACCATTCTATTGAAACGTATGAATTTTCTTTAGGAAACTTTCTAATCATACTCATTTTATTAATTAATGGGGCAAAATGAACCCTTTCGCTAATCCAACTGCTAAATGTACTCTCGTATTTTACAGTGTTAAAATCAATGCATGTTGCTATTACATATAATGCCATTGTAAATATCCATTTATTTTAAAGAGCACTCTTTTACATCCAATGATGTACAACAGAGTGTCAAACTAGAGAGCAAAATGAACTTCAACAAGTATATTATTCAGGTACACTTCTTTTCTCTCAGTTTAGAAGACTGTTGACTTTAATCTCGATGCTTGCAAAGCACTTTCAGGCAGGGGCAGGGATATCATTCATTGTTTTTTTTACTTTATTCCTAACTCACGCAGAGCGATGCATTGTCACCATCCTGAAACAAAAATATGTATCAGGTTCTCCTTTAAAATGTGATATAATTTGCAGAAATGCCTACGGAATGCTTCATAAAACCTGGAAGACCTTTCTCCTACAAAGACCATTCTGTGTGCGTAAGAAAGAATAAGTGCCGCTATTTATGCGGAAACGAAAACTGAACCACTACAACATCAAATATTTTCGTCTGAACGGTTTAGGCGATTGCGTTGACCATGGACGGACGGAGGAACGGACGGACGGACTGACAGACGTTATGCCGTCAATCGAGTTTTCGGTATCAAGAAACCATAAAACATGGATACACCACGTGTTAGAGGAATTGATTCCTGCCTGTATCTACGTATAGCAACAAGATTTATCTGATAAAAAATCGCCAATTTCCGCTGCATGATTACTTTACTTTCTCTTTACTACTTACGTTGTAAGGTTAAAAATAAAACTAAAATTTTATGAATTCACTTATTAATGAAAATTACGTTTCATTTCTGAAATCCAAAGGGCGTGTATCATGACTAGCCGCGACGTATTGAATACTATTTGTAGCTCAATAAAACTCGAGCCTTAGCGATGTGTTCAACCGAGAAACGTGCGTCATACTTGGCAGGTACTGATTATTTATGACAACACAGACTCCCAACTTCATTGTAATTAGTGCAGTTGCAAAGTTGAGGTAAGTAGACGCCAAAGGGTAGCCCGTTTGTATTTAACTGAAGCGCCACACCTCCTTTGGGAAACGTCCATACATTTACACTTCGATTAAAATATCACGTCCTCTCGAGATCACGAGCTCAAAATGGAGGGGCACTGTCTTCCAATCGAGAGCTTCATTACCAAAACTGTAAGTCGTAATGAAGCTCGCGATTGGGTGGTAATGTCCCCCTCTCCTGCCAGCTCGTGACATAGAAAGGACTTGTTTTAATTGAAGTATACTTTTCTACCGCACATGTCGCAAGCCCAGTCAGGAGCTGGTCCCGGTTGGGCAGTGTCCCACTGGGAAAGATACCTTGTGGGGGATTTCCCCCACAAGCTGACTTGTAGGTCGGCCCTGGAACTCACCATCCGGCGGAGCAAGATCACCGCCCCACCTCAACGATGAATCCATTTTACATTACACTTTCTGAACGTAAATGAAATTTAAAGAATACATCAAAGAATCAAACAAATTATCGTTACTATTAATAAAATCATTACAGATTTATAAATAATAACACGGTTACAAATAAATGTACAAGAAGAAAATCTCGAGAACTTCAAAGACAGAATAGGAAACATTTTGTAGACTTGGAATACACCATTTCCTCGTCCTGGACGAGTACACACTCGCACACACACACACGTGTATATGTGTGTGTTTGTGTGTAGCGAGCCTGTCCTAGTGATGTCACATCGATAACGAAACTTCGATGTTCCAAATTAAAACATCAATGATACGAAAACATTGTCAAAAAATCGTCAATTTTTGTTTTAAATCTGGTTTAATAACCTGTAGCATGAAATTCGTGCGCAACAAAATTTAATTCGAGAATGGTCGCGTTTATTAATTTATAATGAATATTTGACTGAAAGCAAAGATAAAAAAATATACTAACAATAGACAAATCTGATCAGAAAAGTCAGTCCTCCCAGAGTTATCTCAGTGTCAGTCCTCAGTTCGTCGAAAAAGGGAACGGGAAGAAGGGGGAGACCTTACGGCGACAGAGCATGCTTGATCGTCCCTTCACGTGCAAAATACAAGAAAAGACATGGGATGTTTCAGGGCTTTGGGGTTCTTTTAGTCTCGTGATAGCCTCGTCGATGAAGGTAGTGCAAACTAGTGATGCGACATCGATTACAAAACATCTGTGTTACCAAATACCAATTTTCAAAATTAAAACATCGATGTTAATAATACATCGACCTAAAATTTTCCATATTTTTAAGCATTGATGTTTTAAAGCTAGTTTAGTAATCTATAATATGAAATTCATACGAACGAAATCGAGTTTGAGAGTAGCCATGTTCATTAATTTGTAATTAAGATTTAACTGAGAACAAAGTTTGAAAATATAAGAACAACTATTGGAAAAACCTGAGCGCAGAGTCATCTCTAGGGGCAGTTCTCACTTCGCCAAAGAAGGGTACGAAACCAAAGGAGGAGAACCTACGATGATTTAGCGTTCCTTTGTTTCGAAAACAAAAATTGACAGCTATTATTTATTTAAAATAGTTATTATTTCATATTTGACTTTTACAAAATTGTAACTATGAGAAATATTCATTTATAAACAAAAACATCGAACATAAAACATCGATGTTAAAATAACATCAGCTTCAATTTATCGATGTTTAAAGCATCGACGTTTTGAAAACAACATCGATGTCGCATTCCTAGTGCAAACGGCGTTCATTTGGTTCGAACACAAACTGACAGTTATAGGAGGTTAACTGAGGCCATCAGTTATTATATCATTTTTGATTTTTACAATATTACGTTTATTGAAATTTTGCATTCACGAATGAAATATCGACAACCTACAATCATGGAGCATAAAACGTCGAAAATATAGAAAAAAACATAGAAAGCCATCGATTTTAATAAATATTTGCTTCAGTGTTTCTAAAAAAACGTGGATGTTTTGCAATCATTGACATCCATGTCTCAACCCTATAGTACAATATATTTAGTCGTGCACTTGACGTAAATCGGCTGTTGCGGTTTCATCCAATCGGAAGCTTATATATCGATACAGTGACGCCACTATGGATACGTTCAAGCTCTGACTTCCAATCGGGAGCTTAAATGTCGCTACAGTGACGTCACAATGGGGACGTTCAATCTCTCACATCCAATTGGGAGGTCATATGTCGCTAGTGACGTCACTATGGGACCATTCAAGCTCTCACATCCAATCGGGAGCTTAAATGTCGCTACAGTGACGTCACTCCGGGGACGTTCAAGCTCCCGATTGGTCAGCTGTGAACAGGTGATTTACGTGAAGTGCACTGGTAAATAAATCCTAGTACAGCGTGTGTGCGTGCGCGTGCGCAGCTCTGCGCGACGAGGGCGGCGAGCGGCGCAGCCCCGGCCCGGGCCCCGCGCCCGGCGACCGCCTGGGCACGCTGCAGCTGCGCTACCGCCAGCACCAGGCGGCCATGCGCGGCCACGCCGCGCCCGCCATCCCGCTCACCGTGCTCGAGATGAACGCCCGCAGCGCCGACCTGGTGAGCGCTCCTCGAAACCTGCCTTCGCGTCTTGCGTTAACACAGAAGGTCGTCCAGACGGGGAGGGGGGTAACTTCCAGAGGCACTGACTTAATTGGGGCCCCGATTGGATTTTTGTTTCAAAAGATATGAAGTAGTTATTTATGCACTAAGAGACTTATATGGGGTTGTGATGATCCAGCGAAGACAAAAAGCCCGATGGCCTTTGGCCCTTGCTACATACGTGATTTCAAACATGCACATACCGATTTTCAAATGAATGTGACACTTGTTCTAATTAATTTTAACTGACAATTTATTCACATAAACAAACAAACCAGTAGCATTTTAATGTTAGAGTCGCAGGCAACGCTGGTTTTGCATACAAAACAATTAAAAGAACACTTTTCAGAAGTAGAAGTGAACACAAATTAGACTGAATTTGTGAAGTTTTAATCTCTTCAAAAATTAGGGGAGAAAAATATGGAAGTGTTAAGGAAATGCCGAAAATAATCAAATGTAAAAGATGTTGCGACAGAATTTTGGGAACTAGTAATTGAAAATGATCTGCATTTTTGCATGTAGCATTTGTGCTAATGCAAATGTTCTATGTGCATTTTTGTCCATATTGGCAAAATAGCGAAAAATTGTAGCTTTACTAAAATTTAAGTATTAGTATCATCAAAACATACATGTAATTGTTATGGCGATTATAATATTGAAATTGTACTAATACCAGTTCATATCCCGTATAAAGGTAACATACTAGGCCATTGGGAACCTTTCAGCGGGAGTATAACATTATCAGCTACTACGATTCATTGGCGTCATTCAGCACAATGCCAGATACTGAAAGAACGTATTTGAACAAAGCTGGGCATGAAAAAAAAGAAGTACGAACGATATTTTCAACACATGAAACTATTTTTAAAAGAGTTTACAGCCTCGGCGACGCTACATTTACCTAGTGTTATTATATTTGTGAGGAGGAAGGTTTGAAATATTTATTGAACCAAAACAAAATCGCTAATTTGAGCCATTTCATGGAAGTGACTCCCCTGATTTGCTTTCCGGGTCGGAGCAGCCGTCGAGCCGCGACAGCGGGTACCCGGAGTGGGAGCCCGGCGACGCGTGGGAGACGCGCAGCCAGCGCCACCGCTCCTCGTCCATGTCGGGGTCGTCGGGCGTGGAGGCCGGCGGCGGGCGGCGCTCGGAGCTGTCGGGCTTCGCCACGGCGCGCCGCCGCCCCTCCGACTACCGCCCGCCCTCGCCCTCGCACGCGGGCTTCTTCGCGCGCCCGGGCCTCAGCTCGTCCGTCACCGACCTGCACCACCTCGCCTCGCCCTCGCCCGCCGCCTTCCACAGCATGCAGCAGGTGGGTCCCACCTCATTGGCTCATTGATGTCGATGCACGGTCCGCTCTCGATGGTGGCAGGGGTTTCGACACTAGCTTGACAGCTAGGTCGAATTTAGCGGCTGACTGGAGGAGAATTCTGGCGGCCGGCTGATCTGATCGGTAGTTTACCGTGGTTTCTCCGATCAACACCAGGCGAATGCCGATACAGTACCCTAATAATCAGGACACGGACCACGCGCGATCTTTGCTTTCTCTTCCTAGACTTATCATCACTCCTTATTTACGGTCACACTTACCCTAACATACACCACACTACCGCACATGCCGGGAAACCGGTCGGGGGCGTAGTGGTTGTCCCGGCTGGGACGAAGCCGCGCTGGTGGTAGACTCATGGTTGGGGAAAATTCCCATCAAGCCGTTGTTCTTCAACGTCGGATTTCCCCACCCCGCGATAAAACATTAACTAACTTACGGGAATAATGACCTTAGCTGTTGGCACCCCCCCGGAAAGTAATCAATTCATCGCATGCTCACCCCCGCGCCCACGCCCACGCCCGTGCTCATGCCCCCGGCGCTCCCGTGACGCGCGACCGCTCCCCACCGCAGGCGCAGTCCATGGCGCACCTCAACTGCCCGGGCTGCCACCACGGCATGATGTGGATGCAGCAGCAGCAGCAGCAGCCCCAGCCGGGGCCCTGGGACTTCGGCGGCGGGCTGACGGCTGCGCTCCACCAGCAGCCACAGCAATCAACCTGGGCGCCGACCTACGCGGGCCCGGCCGCGGCCCTTCGGCGCGCCGCCGCCGGCCTGGGCGCCGCCAACGGCGTGGGGCCCGTGGCAGCGGCCCGCCGCCCAGCGTCTACCGGTGGGCACGCTGCCCGCCGTAGCGCGCTGGGCCCCCTGCGGCGGCCGGTCCCGGGCCCCGGCCCCCGACCCGGGCACGCCGGGCCCGCGTCCGAATCGACACGCACGCGACGAGCCTGGCGACCGCCTGCCGCGGCCGCCCTGCGCCAGGGAGAAGAAAGAAGGAGGAGACCCGCAGCAGCACCAAGATCGCGCAAAGTTCGCACCTGTTCGGCCTCAGCCACCGCGAGCGCGCGCCGCCCGCGCCCGCGCCCCGCCCCGGCGCCCGCCGGGCCCGCAAGGCACCTGCCGCGCCCCGCGACCGCGTGCGCGACCGCCGCGCCACCGCGCCGCCGCCTCCTTCAGCTCGGACGAGGACGACGTGGACGAGCGGGCGCGACGGCTACTTCTTTCCAACGGGGCGCGACGGCCGACGAGGACATGGAGGTGGAGAGGACGATCGGAGCGCGCGCTGGGGCGCCGCCGGCGAGGGACGACGATCGAGGAGGAGGAGCGAGGAAGAGCCCCGCCGGCGGCCGCCCCCCGTGCCCACGCACCCTGGGAGTGCGAGCACTGCAACCTTCGTGAACCGCGCGGGCACGCGCGTGATGCCGCCAGTCTGCTGCCCGCACGCCCACGGGCTCCGCCCGCCCGCGCCTCGCCGCGCGGCCGCCGGCTCCGCGCAGGGCCAAGCGGCGGCGCAAGCGGCGGCGGCTGGGTGGCCGCGGAAAGCGCGCTCCACGGCCGGCAGCGCGGCGGGCGCGCGCGCCGCCCCGCCCCCGCGCAGGGCTCGAGCGCGAGCGCGAGCGGACCAGGGAGAGAGCGCGGTGAGCGGGAGCGGGAGAGGGAGGCGGCCGCCCAAACGCCAGCACGACCCGCCCAGGGGACGACTCACACGCGCGACAGGCAGCGACGCCGCCGACGAAGACGCCGCGTCGTCGCCAAGTTCAACAAGCAGCTGCGCATCGCGCGACGCGGCCACAGCCCGCGCCGCGCGCACCCGCAAGCCCAGGCGCCCGACGCCCCGGACCCGCGCACGCGCACAGCGCACGCGCACGCCCAAGAAGAAACGGTAGGCCCTCTCGCGAGATCTCCTTCTGCCAGGGACAAGTTGTGTCGGCTAGGCCTCCTGCACCTCACCCCCCTTGCTCACTTCTCTTGCGGAATACACCTTTTTTTTTATATTGCTTGGTCAAATATTTAAGCATCTTTAAATGTATCAAGAATGCACATAGTGGTGTTTTTGTTTTTATCCTTATTACATGCTCATGAGAAGTAGGGTCATTTAATTGTAGGAAAAACCGTTTTGTAGGATGAAGGTCAAGAAGAAGGAAGACAGCCAAAAAGGCACGATCGGCGATCTCGCCACGCGGAACATAGCGACAGTGTGTCTGACTCCTAAATTGTTCTTCCGCCTTTTCAGACAGGCAGCACCATAACCAAAAATACCACGGCGTCCGACAGCCAATCCCAAGTGTCGCATGTGGTCCACGTCCCCGCCGCCCCGGCCGCCAGCGCCGCCGCCCAGCCCGTCGCCGTCCGCCCCCGCCCCGCCCACCACCGGGGTGTCCACCGGCGTCGGGCCGTCCCCGCCCGGCGCGACCTTCACCCGCGCACTCCGCCCCCGCCCCAGTCCGCCGACGCCCAGAGAGTAGAAGTTCCGTGTCCACGAGTATTCAGACTAGCCACGAAGACGGCAGACGGGCAGTCGGCGCCCCTCGCCCGCGCCTGCCCGCCGCCTTCGCGCCTGCCCGGCCCCGCCTGCCGCGCCCCGGCGCCGCACCGAGAAGCGAGTGGCGTCCACGGGCACCTCCCCGCCCCCGCAGAGCATCTCCTACGCAAGTAGTGCCCCGCCCCCTTCGCCACCCTACGGCCCACTGCTTTCGGTGTCATTAACCGTACCGTGCTCGAGCAAAGGAGCGTGGCGCCGCAGAGTAGAAATGTAGACAAATGTATTGGCAGCGTTGAAGAAGCTTTCGTATTATAGATATTAAAAATTAACCTGAAATATGTATATGTACCTTCTTTGCTGGGGTAATGAGGACTAATGACTGTAACAGCCACATCCCATGATTTTATATAATTTTATATAATATCAATGTCCCATTAATGGAAAAAAAACTCTCCAATAAGGTTTTCTGAATCTTACATAAATATCAATATAATACGTAAGTAACACGAAATTTTCATCAGATCACTTCCATTTTATTTTCTTCTTTCTTTGTTAATCATTTATGTTGTTTTTCTTTCTAATTTTAACTTCTTTTTTTATTTGGGTTGTATGTTCGTGGAAATTCTGACCAGATAGCTGCTTTCTGACTTGACAGACGTATGACGTTAGTCCCAATTTGAGCATGCGTGGCACTTCACCTGGTTGCAAAGGTGAGGCCGACTACCACCAGCCGAACCGACGACTGAAGCGCGCCATGTCTCTGCACATGGGCACGCAGACAAGCGAGTTCGATCCGTGGCACCTGCCATACCGGTCGCAGAGCCGCATGTCTTTCACGAGCGACACCCAGGTACGCTGCAGCACGCACGTGTTGAATTACACTCATCGTCACGATGGAACACGTGGCTCTACACAATTGCAATGAGATGATGTTGTTGTTGTTTTTTTCGTATCTATAAGTTTGATGAATCACGTTCAGAACTTGTGGTCTTTTTAAGGTAGTGTGGACAAAGGGGGAAGCCAGGTAGGCCACTAACAGCACTACTATAGCTCTGCTGTTTTCACCCATTGCAGCAGGGGTCCCCAAAGTATTTAAAAAGCTGCCCTTAGTGGGCAAACTTCAACAAATAAGAAACTAGAGAAAGTGAAGTAGATCGGGAGAATAGCTGCCTCCGACTGCAACGCCCTTTGTAGATATCCGCGGTTACGTACAGTAATGCATAACTACAGAAATTGATATAGAAAGATTGCTATGAGAAGGGACTCCTTTGACAGCTACTGCTTGGTCCAACATGTCACTCATTTGTTTCCCGAGATGTCAAACTGCTCTTAGAGTAGTTTCTTAGAGTAGTTTCTCTAAATCTTCAGCGATGTCAAACTTTTCATGCAAATTTTCAAGTTAAACGCAATTTTACAAGTGGTTCATGAGGCGCGGGACGGAACTAATATACTGCGTTCGCGAGGGACTTTTGCAACCGCTCTCGAGACGTAGTTAGCGGCTGTGCTCTCACTCCCGTAAAAAAGAACGTCACAACTAAGTAATGCTCTTACTAAGGCGAAAGTATTTACATCGCCTTGATTTATTCTATAAGCAAGGGCGTGAGTTATACTCCCGATTGGCCAAAGTGAAACTAGGAAACGAGTACTAAAAGAGGTGTGGTTTTTAGATGTATTTGACAAAGCCTACATGTTTTCTACAGATCACATACTAATTGCAGTGGCGAGGCGTGGTATTTTGTATAGTCTTTCCAAAATTTGTCGAATAGTCTGACCTACCTACCTGAAGCGTCTGGGAGGTGGGGTATTCTACATGTTTTTCGTTGAATGTTGGTCTATTTTAAACATTCAAACAACGCTCATTTTTATAGTATTATTTCTCCACAAAATGTTCAATACATTTTCTTTTAATTTATGTCTGAATTGAAATTGATATTGCCACAACTCTTTGGTTCGTTGTTTCTGTGACCATAGACTTAAGATGGAGTCTAAATTTGAGGAGAAACTAAAATTCATTGAATTGTTATCAATATGTGGAATATTCTGATTTTTTGTGAGCTTTAACCGATTTTTAAAGCACTTAAATTACAAAATTCAGCCGAAATCCAAATTTATACAAGCCTCATTTGCTGACCTTGTCTTATTTTCAAACGAACGTTGACACTTCCACAAACCACTTGCTAATTTCGTATCTAGACACCATAAAGCACTTGAGGTAAACTTTGTTTCTCTGTGTAACTTTCAAACTTGTCGAATATAATAATGACAGTCACTGTCGGCTTTTCTGCACCGTCAAAACGTCTCTTCGAAATTATGTGAATCATTTTTTTTTTCTCATGTGGAAGTACTATTTCTCTGTGGGAAAATGTCTATTAGACAACTTCCCAATAAATAAAAGATTACGGCAAGGCTGCTGTATATCTCCAACCCTGTTTAAGATATACATTGATAAAGCCCTAAAAGAATGGAAAAGAAAGTGCAGAAGCATGGGTGTGAAAATAGGTGATGAAAAATTGTTTAGTTATTTGCAGATGACCAGGTGATAATGGCTGAAGATGAAGACGATGTATCTTATATGTTCAGAAAATTAGTAGAAGAATATGAAAAATGGGGGATGGAAATAAATTTACACAAAACTGAATATATGGTGGTGGGAGGTATGCCCCATGATTTAGAGACTAGTATAGGAATAATTAAAGGTAAAACACAATATAAGTATTTGGGAGTCACACTAACAGCAGATGGTAGAGACGAACAGGATGTGAAAAATAAAAATATAAGAGGGAAAATAGCCATAAGGCAGTTGAACCTAGTGCTATGGAACTCAATTATTTCAATGAAAACAAAGAAACGCATATATAGCTCGTTCATAGAGAGTACCACACTCTATGGGGCAGAAGTCTGGACACTATCAAAAAAATTGAAAGACAAATTTCAATCAACGGAAATGATGTTTTGGTGAAGATGTAAACTTTCTCTGTTAGGTAAAATAAGAAATGATGAAATAAGAAATAAAATGAAAGTGCAAACAACCTTGAACGATACAATCGAAATGAGACAACTAAAATGGTATGGACATATGAGAAGGTTGAAATCGGATAGACTTCCTCAAAAAGTTTGGGAGTGGATACCAAATCGAAGAAGATACAGGGGAAGACCGAGAAGAACATGGAACATGGCAATAACTGAAGCCATGGAAAAAAGAGAAATGGAAGAAAACGATGTTTGGGATAAAGAGGCATGGAAATTGGGATGCGGAAAACGGCCAAGGCTGTAAAAAACCGCTAAATAGATAGATAGAAGTACTATTTCTTCTGCCGTAATGTATAGCAGAATCGTGATAACCCAACTAAAACTCAGTACAAGCACCCAAGAATCAGGGCACTCAAAAACATTTCAGCGTTTCACTCAAAGTTCATACTGATAGTTCGAATGGCGCGTTGCGTCAGGCAGGGCCGGAAATAATTGAACAGTTCCGAGATTCTCCGAATCCAGATAGAAGTGCCTATCGCCGGCACAATACTACGAAACGCTGCGGTGGGTCAAGTCACAGAAAGCAAGCGGCAATCTCTCAATTTCATGCGCTTTAGCGATTGTCTTGCAATTTCGTTTTATGATTATCTCACTGCTGATTCGTAACTAATATTGTGTGAATATACTTATGATTACTTATCCAATTCTTGTCTAAAATATTTAAAATAAAATATGCTTATTACTTTGTTGATCATTGCCGCTTCTCAATCAATGAATGATGCCCTTTTTTTACGCATGGCTCGGGTCATCAGGCCTGCTCTTCTACCTGACCATGCAAATTTCGCTATGCTCCTTTCGTCATCTAGCAGAGAAAGAAGGTATCGCTGGGGGGACGAAACACTGGCGATTAAAATTAAGCTCAGACGCTTCTTTTAGGCTTGAGAATATTTTACTTTTAGTAAATCTACATGGGACGACCAGCTTTACATCCTCTCAGGCAGGCATGATTTTTTTCGCTCTTCGGCATCTCTCAATGGTCCGACACCTCGCCACTGTCTAATTGCCTTATGCAAAGTAAACAATTATTAAAATAGTTAATTCAAGTACATAGTACTTAAATAATTACACTTCAATAAAAATTTCATATCTATTAATAGTATTTTATGGAAAAAAGAATACCAAAAATCAATGAGAAAAATTGTTGCAGAAAACAAATATAAATAGATATCGAATTAGATTTCATTTTCAAATGATGATCTTTTTTTACTAACAATGAGAACCATAATTGTTTAATAATCCATAACTTTTTTATCAACTCATTTGATATCTACCATAGTCATTATTGTTATTTTTTTCACAAATGAAACTTTCTTGAAGGTGTACCTTCCAGTGTGTGTTTTGGGGACCTCTGCTCTAAAGCCCTTTTGCTAACTTGCTATTTCTATCACTTTCAGTGGATGTAGCATCACGCACTTACTGCCAGTATCCAACCATGGCATGTTTTTTTGTTTTTTTGACAAATGATATTTTATGTTTATTTTTTCTCAGTATTTTAAATAACATTCACTGTAGCAGATACTTAGATACTTGAAACAATTTTTTATTTTTCTTTCATTACCTTGTCATCTTTATCTCAATAGTAAAAATGGTTGCTTGCAAACAATTTAAGCTATTCAACACTTAACATAATTTCAACAATTCACTCAGCAGTAAATTGTCTCTAATTGTCTCTTCTGTTTTCTAGAGCTTGCCCCCTTCTGCATCTGGTGAAATAAGTCCCAGATTTGGTAGCCGATACTTGGATGAGGAAGTACAAATGTACTCAGATCGACAAATGGGTATTGGATCATTTCTCGGCACTGTTAGTGACTTGCGAAGAGATGATTACCATGATTTCCATGAAAACAGGAACAGATCACTGCTGGATAATAAACAAAGTATAGGTCCACCAACAGCACGCAGCCATGCGGATCTGCGACATGATTGGGAAAACAGAAGAGCATCATATGCAGAACCTCAAGGATTCAATAACTTTTCAAGGGTGTGGATGGTTAACAGTAGGCAAATCTAGGCTAATTAATAATAATTTGTGTTCATATTTAATAAGGATAGAATTTATCAAAATATTCTATGAGGTGTGGTTTCCAGTGACCGCTATACAGATGTACAATGACATAATGCTTTCGGAATACTTAAAACTATATGTGATATCTGATCTGTGTTAGCAGTCATCTGCAAATGACAGAGCTACTCGTCGCAACAGCACGGGCAGTCGAGCAGGTTCACAACCCCCAGACTACCTGAACAATCTTGGTGACATAGTTCAGAGGCAAAGAAGTGATGTCATGAAGTCTCAAGGTCTTGAAATTGTTAAATTGCTAAGAGTAAGTTTCAACTTTTACTGTATTAAAAAAAAAACATGTGAATCTGATGAGGGGATGTAGATGTTAACATGTTAACAATATCAGTTATAAATTGAAATCAGCTTTATTTATTTCCCTTTCAATAAACGTTCAGCTTGTCATTAATACCTTATATGAAAATAAGTTAAAGAGAGATTTATCATGATTCATGGCTTCATTAATGAATTTTTATTATATTGTGAATCTTGGCAGGAAGCAGAACAACAAGGCTTCTCCACAGAAGAATTGCAAGTAGCTATGAACCACTGCGGAGATAAAAATCCTGTGCAGTGGCTTCAGGATAATTGGCGAAATATGATAGACACAGTAGTAACACTGGCCACAAATTACGGGCATGAACGTAAGGAAAATAATATTGGTACCATATCAATTGCTGAAGCCCGAGAAGCCTTGCGACTTCACAAGGGGAATGTGTGGTCAGCAGTAACAGAATGTGTAGAGCAGCGTCAAAAGAAGGTATTGTTGCAATGTTGCTTTCTTTTTCAAATAATTGTCAGATTTAACATATATTATTTAGTTTCTGAATTGTAGGTTATTAACACATCATTTAGCTCTAATATAAAGAACAATATGTAATTTTACAGTATGCTGAACTCTTGTCTCGTGGCAATTTCACCCGAGAAGATATAGTCACTGTATTGACTGCCAACCATGGCAATTTAGAAGCTGCTTACTTAGAGCTTAGCAAGACACAATTGAAGCCATTTCTCATGCGCATTTGGGGACCACCAGTGGGAACAGACAATGAAAGTGGGAATGTGAGCCTGGGAAATAAAGCGGGGCTTTGGGAGCCAACGTTGGTTGGTGGGGGCGGAGGGGCTGTGGAGTCTCTAAACAAAGAGCCAGAGACTTCGCATAAATCTCAGCTTCCTCCTGATGAAGGTAAAGAATATATTTTTGTGGGTGTGAGAGAAATGTATGGTTGAAGTAAGAATGCTAACTTGTATATAAATTTCTAATGTTTTTTTTCTGTTCATTTAAGTTTGGAGGAAAAATTAAGGCAATGTGAATATTAACAAATACATTTTTCTTTATGCTATTATTATACATTTTTAGTACTATGTACCAATTAATAATATATTTTAAAAAATTCAAAATAGCAGGAAAATATTCATGAAATGGTTTCCTGAATTATAGATTGAAATTACTGATTTAATCAATAAAAGCAAATTCATTCGTGATAGATTCAATTTCAAACCTACGAAAACCATAGGTACCATAATTGCAAAGGACTACAAGATTTTTTAATGCCATAAAAATAGAACACAGGAACAAAAATTTATAAAAGACTTTTATTTGTTTATTTTTTATAGTTTTTTAAAGAATATTATAAATAAAACTACGTATTAAAAGAACAGAAAAGTGGTATAATTTTATCCATGTTCTAGGACATCATTTATTTCTAGGAACTAGAAAGGTATTCTGAGGTACAATAATGTATAATGACCACAAATATCCTTGAAACTACACACCATATATTTTAGAATACCTTTACACTATTTTCCTTTCAATTAAGAATTCCCAAAGATCTCACTTAAGGTCATGAAGTGAAAAGAAAGACACACAGCCACCTCCATGCCTATGGATGTCCAGGAAGATGATGTTCCCCTATACATTACAGGGTTTAGAGCTGTATGGCATACTTAAACTACCACAACACTTTTGCTAATGGAGTAACATTAGGACCACTGTGAACTAAAACTGTTATTGTTAGTATTGTAATTAATGCAAGCAATTACTTTTAATTTATTGCAAAATGAAAATTGACAAATTGACATTTGTGAATGAGTTATTTGATCTATAGGCATTTTTTAATGTCATTACTCAAAATCCCTTCTTCTCTCTTGACCCTCTGTTTAACTTTAGAAATTTCTTCACATTTTGATTATAGACCCTTTTGAAGAAATGATGTCCAGAAACTACGAAAACAGCTTTTTTTTTTCCTTCAGACAATTGATAATTGTTTATTCATGTTTTCCAGTTCAGTAATCACTACATTAAATGAAAAAAATTTTAGATTAAGAATTTATGTACTTATAGAAAATTGGGTTTGTGAGAGGTTATAGTAATTACAGACATTTCATTTATATGATACAATTTCTGATGTGGCTATATAATTTGTTTCCTGTTTTATTTACCCACACAGATGACTCTATTACTGACTTTGTTGATGCACGCTCAGACCTGGGACCTGAGGATACCACAGATGAAAGTAAAGCGGTGAGTCCGGTCTTTGATTCAATCCATTCTGGGGCTGCGTCATCTGTTCAAGAAAAAAATATTTCTTCCAGCCAAGGGAAGGGAGTTCATTTGCCATCACAGGTATGTGAGCAGAACATTCCAGGCTCGGTTGATAAAAGACAAAATGCATTCCCCAAGCAACAGGACATTCCATCTAAAACAGCTGAAGATAATTTACAAAATAGTTCTGTTCCCACTGTAGAAAAACAAAAAATGTATGTTAATACTGAAGCAGAAATGTTATCACCTAAATCAATTGTAAAGCAAGAGGCAGAAGGGACTGAAAAAAATAAAGAAGCACAGGAGCAAAATTTGTCAGTGAAAAGAGAAAATGACAATGTCACAAACATTGTTCCAATTGTTCCAAAACGTAAACAAAGCAGAGATTTTGCACCATTTGTCTTCCAAAGACAGTCTCATTCCCTTCCTGATCTTAATGCCTTTGAAGATCCAATAGTGCAACAAGAATATGCTAAAGTTATACATGATTCAAAGCGACAACAGAAAGGTGATGAAGGTTATTCGAAAGATGTATCTGCTGCAAAGGCAGGAGCACCACAAGTTTCTAAAAAGACAAATTTGAATTCACCTGAAAATTCTTTGGAAGAATCTAAAAACTCCCAAGAAATCCATCTAGAGTTCAATAATTCTAAACCTAACACTTCTTCAGACTCTTTAAAAACACAAGAAATTTCTGGGAAGTTGAATGTGGTTGTACAAGAAGATTCTAATGTAGAAACTAAACAAACCCAAAATATTAATCAGAAACCTCACAGTTCTTCTACACCACATGCATCTTCTGAAACACAGAAGGAGAATGTTGAAGAACTTTCAATTATCAACAAATCAGGAGACCAAGAAAGTAACGATGTAGAAAAGGTTAAAACTGAAAATGATTCCCCTAAATCAAATGATGCCAAAGAATCTACACAATCTGATTGTGACATTGTAGTAAATGGTGAGAAGAATCATGAGGAGGATTGGCAAAGTGAATCTCCACCGGATTCCCCAGAAATTACTTGTACAGAGAAGGCTCTTTCCAGTCCAAAACCAGGGCCAAGTTCAGTAGTTGATAAGGGACAGTCAAAGAAGGGTAAAGCACCCCCGATTCCTCCCAAAACCCAAAACAAACAACCAACTGCTCCTGTGAGGCCTCAAAGAAACTCTCGCATAGCTTTAAGAAAAGCACCTGGCAAACCTCCACGAGCAGTTCCAGCTCCATCTAAGGAAGCAAAACTGTCGCACTCCAAAATTCCACAAAAGATAACAAAGCCTCCTCCATCACCTCGGGCCACCACTCCTAAACCATCACCAAAAACTTCAAAAGCTCCTCCTATACCAATTAAAAATCCTGAAGATAATGCAACAACAGGTGTTCCAAATGAGCCTGTTGTTTTAGAAAAAGAATCACTTCCAGAAGGTCATGAAGAACCTGTATCTTTGCAAGCGTTAGGTATAAAACAAGAGGGATCTAATCTGAGGAATTCTGAACAGAAAACCGAAACTTCTGTAGCTGAATCAAATTCACAATTAGTAGATTCACTAGATGTATCTGAAGTTCAGAGCCAACCTAATGATTCCCAACAATCTGATATAAAGGAACAAATCACCAATACTTCAACTGATCCTTCAAAAACACAGAATATAGTTCTGAATGAAGAAGAAGTAATGAAAGTAAACTCCAATGAAGGAGAGAAGGAAGGTGATCTACAAGAGGAAAAAATAGAACAAATACAAACTGCGATGGAAAACCAATCAATTGCAAAAAGTGAGGCAGATTCAGGCACTTCTAGTAATGAACCCTTGCAAAATGTTGACAAAAATACAGCAGATAGCAATAAACAAACACATAAATCACATACAATGTTCCCGGAACATTGTTTAGACAGTGATGAAGATGAATATGTGACAGACTTTGCAGACGACGATGATGTGGAACTTCCAACCCCTCAACATGCAAACACACTAATTTCTCAAATGCCTGCGGAGACAATGAGTACTAATAATGATACAACTAATCAGTCATCAGATATTACAATACATTCCAACAGTGACACATCTCCGTTACAAAATTCTCCCACAATTTTGACTAGTTCAGGTTCATCTGATGAAAAATCTCAGGAAGCAGCAAAATCAAGCGATGTTTCAGAACAGTTGATGGATACTTTCACTTATGAGGTAAGATAATAATGATTGAAATCAAAAGCTGATGTTTTTTTAATACATGCTTTCTTTAGTAATGTGTGCAATTATTATGTGAATTTTTATGTCTTGTTTATTAATATTCACCACATCCTTTTGTGTTACCCTGTCTATGTTATTTTACTTTATAGCTTGCAGTAAATGAAAATATATAAGAATGATCTAAATTACTGTATACTTCTATAATCTTTGATAATAAATTTGTGTAAGAAGATTCTCAACCTTAAAATTAAAAACGTTTTGTAATACGCAAAATTTTCTAATTAATTAATTTTTCATTCAACATTTTATGTAAGTGAGACTATCTCATCCTAGCATCAACAAGTTCAACTAGCTCAAGTTTTTTAAGTGTGGAGTGTTGTGATACTTTAAGTTTACTTCTTTAAAAACACACTGTTTTTCTGTGTGTGAAGCATGCACCTATAATAATGTTTTGAACTTAACTGAGGTCACTAGCTTTCAAATTAGAAATCATCTCAACTGTCTTAAGAAATATGAAATTTCTTCTTATATTAAATAATTACATGAAGTGTAATTATAAAATAATTGAAATATATTATGAGGGATTTAAAATTCTCTATAAAACTTACATAATAAAAGTCAGATTTTCAATTAAAATGTTTAGTTTTAATCGTGCTTTTATAATAGCTTCTAGCCTTACTTATGTGACTGAAAGCAGAAATTCTGTGTTAATTGTGACATTTTTCCCGCTACTGTTCAATATGTTATTTTACATAGTGAATGTTTTCAATTGTACCGTGCTATACAGAGGTTCCAGAAACATCTAATTTTCTTCACACTGTTCATGATAGTTACAAGGGAGTAAACAAGTCCATTTTCCCATTCTTCAATAACACTTCAAGGAATCATGCTTTAAAGTTAGAGAACACTGGCCGTGTATAGTCACGGTGCGATTTGAAGGAGGGTGCCGTGGATCTCCCTAGAAAGTATGCTGCTTTCTGCTACGGACAGTGATGAGAAAGGAATGAAGATGTGAATATTCGACACAAAAAAATTGTAGTCTTGCTTGGGTTATTGCTTCTACTGCTAAGCGCGAGCCTTTAAGGACGACAGGATCCGTATCTCATGTGTTATGAACGTGTTTACGCATCCGAAACTTGTAAAGCCCTAGTGCTATGAACCATGTCTTTCCACTTCTTCCACCATGCTAACTATGGACGTACGTATATTCTCGCTGGTGTTTGCGTTCTTCTTTCATTTCAACAAAATCGCGTATTATGTTTCTGCGACTGAGACATCTGAGGGACGCTGGTCTTTCAAAGGTTCTAAGACTTCCTTTCATTGCAAAAAGATAGAGTATAATATGTCTTTTTTCTCGGGTCTGGACAGTGTACCTAAAGATTCGCGCCTCCGCGCAAAGTGCACAGCACTGCTGGGCGCAGTCCTGCCCATAACTCTGCACAGCGGACTTGGCAGCGGCGTGCGGCGATTAGCAGTTAAAGCAGAGGCATAACTTTCGGACCCGCAGTGCGGGCGGGCCCAGGGAAAAGAGGGCCCGTTTTTAGGGGATATTATTATTATTATTATTATTATTATTATTATTATTATTATTATTATTATTATTATTATTATTATTATTATTGTTATTAGTAGTAGTAGTAGTAGTAGTAGTAGTAGTAGTAGTAGTAGTAGTAGTAGTAGTAGTAGTAGTATAGGTTCTAATACTACTAGTGTTAGCTTAACACGTTTATAATGGGGGTCCGGATAAATGTTTTGCGAGCGGGCCCGCACTCATTTCGTTTGGCTAGTGAGTCAATGGGATAATTTCGGTGTGAAGAGCACATTTTTGAAACTTTGAAACCGTGCGTTTTTCAACAACATCATCAACAACAACACTTACAAAAGAAAAAAAACATTTTTAAATTTATGAGTAGATCACACGAGAAGAAATTACATGTTCCTGAAACACTCTGTATGCACCATTTCTTTCTAATAACAAAGCAATTTTGATAGTTCGTTGAGAGTCGAAGATGTTTTCTTAATGAATGTATCAACACATATGATTGTTTCTTATATATTTTTTTCCTGTGCATGAACAGAGACAGGTGCGAAGATGTCTGGCCGAAGGTCTTGTCAGCACATACGATCAAGCAGAACTTGCTGTACGTCTCATGGCTCTAAAATTTGAACAAGAGGAAGCAGTAAATGCAGCTAAGGAATGCAGTACACTCTATGCTGCCATATCATTTCTTCAGCAAGAATGTGAACTGTGTACAGGCAAATACCCTATGAAGGAGGTATAGTTTATTACATTCAATGTCAGTCAGTATTACAGTCCAAACGCGCACGCCCCCCCCCCACACACACACGCACACAGAGGCACACACACACATACTCATACAGACACACACACACACACGCATACTCATACAGACACACTCACACAGTCACTGACACACACCGACACACGCAGACACACACAGGCACACACAGATATAAAAAAAATATTATTTGAACACAATTTCTTGAATAAGAAATAATTTTTGTGTCTTCATGAACATTAATCGACTTTTTACTGAAGAAAAAAATTGTGTATGTGTGTGTGTGTGTGTGTGTGTGTGTGTGTGTGTGTATGTGTCTGTATTTGTTACGTTGGCCCACATTATAGGGGTGGATTTTTTAAAAATCATTTTTTATGTTCACATGCTCTATTTTTTTATTGTACTTTAATTTAGAAGTATCTCAAATATTTCTCTATTATTTTCTATTTTTTTTAGTGCGTTAAAAAGTTATTTCACGTTACTGAATATTTCGCTTCCCTCACAAATTTCTTTCACGTATTATGTATACCCGTCTCATAATTCTCTTTTTCCAAATATTTAGAGAATCTCAGACTACTAGTTACTTGAGGTAACTCACGTACGAAATAACTTCGCAGCAGTAATTCAATACATACAATGCGTGTGTGTATGTGTGCGCGTGTGTCTTGCTGTCAAAATGATATTTTATCCAGAAGCGTATAATGTGCGACTTTGGAAAAATTAGTTCACTGATCTGTGTATAATATATGTTTTTGTTTATTTTTAGATGGTATCAATGTTAAAATGTGTGCATCGTTGTTGCAAAGATTGCGCAAAGAATTATTTCACCATTCAAATAACAGACCGCAATATTGCTGATGCTGTTTGCCCATTTTGCAAAGAACCTGAACTTGAAAATGATGATGAAGCTCTAGAATACTTCAGTAATTTAGATATCCTTCTAAAAAGCTTTCTGGACCCTCCTGTTCATGAACTGTTTCAAAGCAAACTACGAGATCGCACACTTATGCAAGATCCAAATTTCAAGTGGTGTGTTCGGGTGAGTTATCTGCACACGAACTTGATTGATATTTTGTGTCATCCTTAAAAATTATTTATGTTGTTGTTTTCTTTTCTCAAAAATCTTAGTGCTCATCTGGATTCATTGCAAATCCCAGACAGAAGCGCCTTGTTTGTCCTGACTGCCGCTCCGTGACATGTGCATCTTGCAGAAGACCTGTGAGTGACCTGACTTCACTTAAGAACTTAACCACAGTTTTTACCTTTAAAATAATGAAATATTTCTTTTTCTTGGAAACTAAAAAGAGTTTTAGAATAGTTGCAGGCATTGTCCGATAATTAACTTATTTAACTAGTATTTTAGCAATATTTTATCTAATAAAAATACCCAAAATTCTTTTTATCTATCGATCTAATTAAATACGTATTGTGGCATTTTACACAGTGGGAGAAACAGCATGAAGGCATCTCTTGCGAAAAATTTGCTGAATGGAAAGAGGCAAATGATCCAGAGATTCAAGCAGAAGGGGTTGCCAAACACTTGGCGGAGAACGGCATTGACTGTCCAAAATGCAAATTCCGCTACTCGCTGTCTCGCGGAGGTTGTATGCATTTCACTTGCAGTCAGTGCAAATTTGAGTTCTGCTGTGGCTGTGGCAAGCCATTCCTCATGGGAGCGAAATGTGACGTCAGCCCCTACTGTGCCAAACTAGGCCTCCACGCTCACCACCCTCGAAACTGTCTCTTTTATCTCCGGGACAAGGAACCGAATGATCTCCAAAAGCTCCTTCAGGTACATTGTTTTTATAACCTCTGGTTTCTATAGTTTTCAGTGTTCAATGAAGTGAAAACACTTGCTTTATGTTCACAATGATTCACTGATTTGAAGGAATTCAATGTGACATTTGACACTGAAACACCGGCAACAATGAAGGCCCGGGAAGAAGGAGGGGCTGCCGTGAAATGTCTGGTCCAGCTCCAGAAGGAGACGCCAACTGGACTGATGGACACTGTCTGCAATGGAGATGTCATTGAGGGGCACGCAGGCTTATGCAGGTGGGTGTTGTTGTTTTTTCAATTAACCTTGCAACCCTCGCTAACTATTTTGGTTCAAAATGTTGTAAACTAGTTTGTGAAACATCTGTTGCAGCCTCTTAATTTCCTTTTAAGCTTTTAAAATTTCTGCATTTTTGGATTTAAATTATAATATACATGTCATTGAGTTCTTGCTATAATCTGTGATGAGCAACTCGCAGCTAATTCACTTGTTATACTTCATTTGCTACTTAAAAATGGATTTACAATGTAAAAGAATTTCAGTGACGTACGTAACATTCAAACTCCGAACACGCACCAACTCGAATTTTCAACCTCACCTTTTCCATGTCCATTAGTTCCAAGACACTTTACCACATAGCGTTCCTTGTCTATATATTTTCTTCTCATATTATCACTTCGTCCAAAAGAAAATGGACAATTTTAAACAAAATAGGCAATATTTAACTCTTTGTGGACGTTATCTTCTGCGCACCAATCCTTTATCGTAGCATTCTAAATCTAACTCTGTCCAGAAGTTTAGTCAAAAGATCAGCTAGCTGGTTGATCCCGTCGATGTGCTCCCGTTCGAGATTTTATTCCAAAAATCTTTCGCGGTTTAATGGAAGTGGCGAACTCGATATAATTTGATCTGCAATAATATTCTGGAGTTTTGACAATTTTACAGCACTAGCATTGTCGATGAAGAGTGAAGGAGATTATTATTTTTCATCTATTCAGACAGGAATATTTTCAGCCAAATTAACTCCTTTGCCCCTTTACTTGCTGCTATTATCTCAGCTTCTGTATTCGTCATTGCCACTGACTTCTGCAACTGACTGGTCCAGCACACAGCTCCATTACTGAAGGTTGCAATGACTCCAGTCGTTGAACGTCTTGTCTTCTTGTCACCGGCGTAGTCACCATCACTCTAGGCCAGAGGTCCAACTTGCAAGGCCTCGAGGGCCACAACTAAAACTTTTAAGATGGTTGCGGGCTATGCTTTCATTACTCGTCTAATCCACCGTTTTGTTGATCTCGGCATTTTGCTAGTCTGGTCTGGAAGGCAGGATGAAACCATGCCTGATATCAGGCTCTGCCATGCATAACGCAGTGAAACACCTTGGGATGATTTTGAATTTCTGAATTAACTACAAAAAACTCCTTAAATGTAAACTGTTTTTACATTAAGGGATGTTGACTCCGGCGGGGCGCGTGCGCTAGGTGCAATTATTCTCGCCCGACATGAATGCAAAGTACTTTCCCGTTTGTCTAATAACCTGTCGCGGGCCGCAATAAATGGCATCGCGGGCCGCCAGTTGGACAGCCCTGCTCTAGACCTTTAAAACTTGTACCTTTCAGAAGAAAATTCCATGGATTACATGGATATTCATTTCATTATATTTCGATCTATTCTATTCCGTATATTCTAATCCGAACTATTGGATTTTCCATGGCTCGGAACTGCTTTGACAATAATACGACCTGTAACTGAAGTCAGGTACATCAAAGGACCTACCGCCCACGATAAGGAACCATGGCTGTGACCTGTCCTCCTCCACCGTTGTCTTCGCAGCTAATTGGAGTAGAAACCCCATTCGACCAAGCCATTCCAAATCTTTCTAAAACGTTCAGTGTGTAGTCTTCTTGATCGATTACTATCTATCCATCTTCATTCTGCTGTATTCTCATAGCCGAGAAGTACCCATACTCCCAACTTTTCTAGTTGTGTGAAAGTATTTCCCACAACCCGCTGCAGTATTTTCATGAATTTTTTGAGTTCACCTATATCAATGGCAGCAGCCATATCGTCATTCCGAAAAGTAGAACAAACATAGATCCCTTGTCTCTTGTGGTAGAATAGACACGGATTAGGACTATTGTGTTTAAATCCAGATTTCTTCATAAACGTCTTGAACCGTTCGTTCCAGCTACGTACGCCATTCAAACGTTTCTTCACGCCCCACACTCGTTCAGCATTGTCCTCAAAACCTTCCGGCTGTTCCATATACACGTATTCTTCAAGCATGCCGTTCAAGAACGCTGTTTTCATGACAAACTGAGCGAGCTTCATTCCAAATGCAGTAGCCACCGCTAACAAGGTCCGAATGGTTTTATATCGTGCAACTGGGCTGAACGTAGATTCGTAGTCAATTCCCTTTCTTTGTACGAAACCTTTAGTACACATCAAACTTGAAGCGGATTTTTTCTCTAACTAAACGTGTCTGGTTGAAGACCCTACGATTATTCAAGAAAGGACTTGCACATCTTTCGGACGTTCCGCCAACATCCAAATATCATTTTCCTCTATAGAATCCAACTCTTCATTAAGCGTCTTTGGCCACCCTTCTTTGTCAGGAGACTGCAGTACTTTAAGGTACAAAATTGGGATTCTTGTTTTCAGTAACCGTCGATCCAGCCATGTACACAAAATCTCCGCTGATCATCCATGCTGGGCTCTTGGATTCACGTTTGTTTCGTGTAGTTTTGCCTTCTCCTTTGACTTCTTCTTCAACTAGAACAGTACTTCCTATCCCGAGCTGAACGCTGAAGCTAATTCTTCAGCCATACACCATTCTTCCTCCCTTTTGTCAACTTGCTGGCTACTTTTATCTTCTGTACATCGAATGCGGCGAGTTCTTCACATGAAATTTCAATACTTTCGTTATTGATGGGCACGTCGCAGATACGTTCAGGCTTAAATTTCACATCGTGTCTCGGAACAAACTTAATTTGCGTCGGAATCCACACCCTGAATCCATTTCTGTCGTATCCATATCTCTCGTCTTCGTATTCAATGAGATGTCCATGAACCACTTTGCCATCGATCTTTGAGCGGAAGTTCTTGTTGATGTGCCCTTAACATTCTGTTCAGAAGATCTTGAAACTGGTGTCTGAGACTCCCCCCAGCCCGTCCATGCCACAATTCATAGGGAGACTTGTTTTCAATTGACTTTCCAATGCGATTCAGGAGGTATTGCATGCCTCTGTCCACAGTCTCTTTGACAACTTACTTGTTTTGTACATAGAACGCGCGTCTTCGACGTTGATTCGATTTTCACGCTCCGCAATACTTTTGCTGTGATGTGTACGGCGCTGTAATGCATTATTCTATGACCCCGTTTGCCAACAGTTTAAAAACTTTCTAATTGTCAAATTATTTCTCTCCATTACACCTCAGCTGCTTCATGACATGTCAATTCGTCCTGATTTCATTAAGAAAGTATTTCAAAACAGTGCAAACTTTCCTTTTTCTGCTTCAGAAGAAAATTCGACGATACTTACTAAAATGAGCTTCAAAACTCACGTAGTATCGTGACTCTCCGACAGATTCAGTTGGCATGGGTCAGTTCACATCGGCGTGGATTTGTTCACCAGTTCGATTCATTCGTTTCTTGAATGGTAACCTATACATTCTGGAACTCGAGAAAACGTGCGCAGATGATATTCTTTCCCATACGTCACATACAGTTTTTCCTTTTTTACTAAATAAATATGACACCTCGACTGACATTTGCAGTGACATGGTCTTCAGTGCTGACACTTCGATCATAAAGTCTCGTAGAAAAATATTTTCTTGCAGCTGATTTCACGGAGAACAGTTGAACACTTGCTTAAGGAACGTACAAGACGTTTTCCAGTACAGCCTTCGACCAAGCTTTACTCAAACGCACTTAAATGTTCACATTTTTCTGTCGATGAGGCATCATATTTACATCTCTTTTCACGAGAGAGATCTTTTCAGGAGCAGCCAATTTCTCGTACGATGTAGAATGCTGGTTATTCGCGGTGATGTGATTTGTGGTCCCAACGTCCCAGAACCACTTGACGGCTTCAATAAAGTTATCGACTGCTGCACCCATGGCATGCGTCAAAAACGCCATACTTCCATCAGATCTTTTTTGTTTTTGTTTTCAGTGCCATCTGCCTTCTTCTCCGGACACTCTGCTACCCATTGAGCCAACTGCATGCATTTGTCGCATGGTCACTTTTGTTTTGCACTTTTGTTCTATTTTGGTTGAACATTCTTCTTTGATTCGTCACTTTTTTGATGAGGCTTCTTGTTGGAACCGCATGTAACAAACGCAGTCGATTCAACTTTCCCTTGATCATGCAATTCACACTCACAGTTTGATTTTACGCCAAAATCGTGTCCAACAAGTTTTTAAAACTGTCATACTCTTCCCCCAACGTTGATATAATTCGACCATTCAAAATTCTCTCAGGCACAGAATTTAGTTGACTTTTTTTAAAGTTCATCATATAAATTCACGAAAAACTTCTGCAACTTCGCGACATGCATACTGATGTCTTCTTTGCCGTCGCGCGTCACTAGGAAAAATAATTCTATCAGGATTCAGTCCTTGTGTACCTGTTGCGTTCGAACCGCGCCCTTAATTTTGTCCAAATCTTATCAGCACCGATGCACGTCAACACGACCTCGGCAAAATGTTTTCCGTAGCGCATCTGCTACCAAACTTGCCGCTTTGGCGATGTCGTTCTTCAGTTGGTGAAGAGTTGCTTTTTCTTCCACGGTCGCGTCATCTGCCAAAACTGGACACACTCCCGAACCGTCAACTCTGTTGCTACTTAAAAATTGGTTTACAATGTAAAAGAACATCAGTGACGCATGTAACATACAAAATACAAACGACTCGACATTCCAACCAAACCTTTTCCAAGACACTTCGCCAGATGGCGTTACTTGTTTGTATTTTTTTTCTTTTCATATTAACAGAAAAATACTAGAAAGAAATAGAATGAAAAACCTGTACAAATTTAAGATACTCACAAACTAGTTACATGTTGCTAAATCTTTGTTATTACAGGATGCACTATATAGAGTATTTAAGTATGATGATCTGGAAGCACAAGTTGGATCCTATATGCATTTTAAGCAATGATGATCTTGAAACACTTGTTAAGAGAGCTCACAAGCGTCTGCCACCCAACCCCTACGGAACGCCGGAACAAGTCTTCCGGGAAAGGTTGCTCAAGGTACTCATTTCTCTTCTTATGTTTTCTTTGCTTCTCTCAGGCCACACTACATTGAATATTTAGTGGATCTCATTTCAAGAAACAAGCTGGATCCAATCAGTATATTTGACCTGGTGGATGTTCAGCAAGAACTCAAACGCAGAGGCAAAGCCTTGCCCGCTAGGCCAATCAACTCAACTGATGAACAGTACAGGATCATTTGCTCTAAGGTCTGTTACTCTGGGTGCTTAACTATTACTTCATTGGAAATGCTCTATTGTAGATAGAATTATAAGTGCATTCAGACATTTGTAAGGTATTAGACATGTCATGATTGATAAGGAGTTAACAAAGAATATGTTTTATTGAATTTTATGTACTCGTACTTTATTTACAAACATTACCAGCAAAGCATGAAAGAACAGTATAACCATTTGATTTTAGAGCATCATAAAGAATTCACTTCTTTAGTTTGCATATATGATTTACGGTCCATTTATACTGTCTAATTACACAACTAAATTCATATTCCTTAACAAATGTAAAACAACTAATGGTGTTTTGACAGCACGCACATTATTTGTAACTGTTACGTAATTTTATAATTCTACTTGAACCCTCTAACGTATTTCCATCTCACAAATTTTTTACCCACACTGGAATTCGAAATCAAACACTTCAGGCAGTTAGCATACCCATTACACTCAACAAATCAGTCGGGATATTAACCTATTACACGCTTTAAGCTGAACATTTGCAATTTTCGAAAATTCTGAATTTTTAATGTAAATCAATCGAGTTGGAGTAAAAAAGAGAAGTTCACAGATTTGAAAAGATATGTGTACTTAATTTTTTTTAAATTCTCACTATCTCACTCAAAAAAACTCGATCCCGACACACATTTTCAATATGTGTTACCTGACATTGTTTAAAGATCTAATTTCGAAGAACAGATTTCATTAAGAAAACGAGTTACACTGCTTAAACTTTCTCGCATTGTTGGGAATGATTACGTAATATTATATTTGCAATGTTTGCCTTCACTCGAAAAAGTCCAAACAAATTCAAACGAAGCGCTTGCAGTACTTATCTGCAATATTTTCGATAGTCGGAACTTGTAGCCCTTTTTTCCTTCCACAATAGAAAAATTTCGAGAAAACAACTTATTTTTCAAATGAATGTGTATGAACTTTCTTAATTAGTTATTTTTTAGAACAGATTTTGTTTAAGACAAAAATATTTTCCATTTTGTAGTTCTAATTCTAAATTTTTGCAATTTTCGAAAATACGGATATCAACGAAATTGAGACTTGCGCTATTCTTTTAAGCATCCCTTATTCTATATAAAGAAAAATATTGGAACGGTTTTTGAGGATTGTTTTTTTTAGAATTGCATACATTCAAAGCGCAAATTGTGCGAAAATTACTCTTTTTTCAAAAACAAATTGTATAAGACATTTTTTACAGAACTGATTTTTCACAACAGATTTTGTTTAAAGCAAAAATCTCTACTTCCAATTTTGTAGTTTTAAAATGTAAACTTTAAGCAATTTTCGAAAAAAACGGAAAGATGGTCGAAAATTGGACTAGTGCCATATTTTTACCGTGTCTTATTACATAGGAGGGGGGAATTAAAAAATGGAGCGTTTTTTTGAGAATTTTTTAAAACTTCCCTTTTTTCGCACTCAAAAATTTCAGGAAACTACTCATATTTTCGAAAAATTGAAAATGAAATTATTTTGAAGAGATGTCTTTACGGAACAGATTTTTTAAGAAAAAAGCTCTATTTTCAATATAGTAGATGTAGGAAGACGCTCTAAACATTGCACTTTTGCAATTTTCTAAAAGTCTGTGGTTTCAACGAACATGAGACCTGCACTATTCTCTTAAGCGTCCTTTACGATATCCCTCAACAAAATTTAATACTAACAAATTGGACTAATTTTTTTGAAAATTTTGTAAATGTTGAGGCTTTATATGCAGTACTCCGCCAAAAGTTCAAAATGTGTTTCAAATTCAAGGGGTGCGACATCGGTCAAATCAGTTGGGTAATATAAATGTTGGTGCTTATGGTTTATCCTCTAGCGATGTTCATAGACACGCGGACAGACAAGCGTGTTGCCGTCAATCGACTTTTCGGTTTCAGAGATCTACCAAAAGTGGATTCTGACTACAGAATTTTCTATACGCCACATTAAAGGCATACTCTTCCAAATTAAAGCCGTGGTATCTGATTTCTAGGCATTTAGGATTCTCGAAGGTTCCCAGGGGACTAAGGAATTTAGAGGAAGTAATTTACTATGAATTGGATTAGATACATCCACTTTTTCGTTATCAGAACCCGGCAATGAATTTTTTCTGCCAAAAATCCGCCAATTTTTTCACAGTATTACATAACTTTCACTATACTATGTATATATTCCGCATGTACATACGTAGTATACTTTGATGAAACATTTTCTCACTGGAAGTTTTTCGTATCTCATCTTCGTAACAGTCACTGTTGAGTTGAAAATACGAATACGAAGATACGGACACAGGTCAATTGATTGTAAATTATTAATTAAAATGTGCCCTTTTTTATCATTTGAGTTGAATCGGGGTCATGAATTTTGGGCAAACAAAGAATCATTTGATTACTTTGATTATTAACCGAGATATGACGAATTGAAGTAAAAAAAAAGTTTTAAAAAATTATACGATAAAATATTTAGTGTTTATTATGGCCTTCAATTACCGTTATTTGAAAAACCATGTTTCTATAACAAAAGAGATTCATTTTGACATGCTGAAAGCTATAGTATTAAAAAATTGAATTTACAAATTTGTTAAAAACATCATCAATATGGTTTTTTGCTGGCTCGAGCACAAATGCCCTTCTTAATACGAGCGATTGCAACTCCTGCCTATAAATAATTTTTCGAATAAAAAACTTTTGGATTGAAGAGAATTTGCCGTCCTGAGGCAAGTGCCCACGCCTAAATCCACCACAATATGGCAGAATTCCCAGAGCTCAAGATTCCATGCACCGATTTGATTTCTCCCTATAGTGCCTCATACAGTTAACTGTTTTCCTTTCTCGCTACGGAGTAGAGAGAAAGTTATGTAAAGCTGCGCGAAAAAACTGCGAATTTTCGGCAGAAAAATCTTTTTACAGAGCCCTGGAAACGAAAGTATGGATAAATTAAGTTGCTAAATTTAGAAGGAAAAAAAAAAACAAACAAAAAACAATCCTGTAACATGCGGTGTAGCCAGAATCTTTGCTTTGCGGGTCCTGATTCTGAAAAATTGAATGACGGCAAAACGGGTCTGTCCGTCCGTCCGTCTGTGAGCAAAGTTAGCGGCTAAACCGTTCAGCCAAATTTCTCCAAAATTGATATTCCTCAATATCTGACTATGTCGCGGCTCCTTGAATTTGAAACCGATGTTTTTATTTTGGGTGGTACTGTAAATGACCCCTCTGAAACATTTCTCAAATTTTCAAAAAATAGCTCCATCGTTTTTTATTAAATTTTGTTTGATAGTTTTAAGGACTTTTAACAGAATGGCAAAGGTCTAATTTTCGTTAAAAGCCCCGTTTTTTTGAAAATTGCAAATGTTCACAGTTTTTGTCTTCCTACAACTAAAATAGTAAAGATAATGATTTTCCCTTATGGGGTCATGACTGAAATAAGATGATTTTTTTTATGTAGCACAAAAAATACAACTCTTGTACTTCAATTCTGTGTGATTAGGCCATTTTAAAGGCTAAGAGAGGGTTTTTTAATTTCTCCAGTGCAGGGTTTAAAGATCCTCGGAGGAGCCACGCCCTCTACACCTCGAAGAGTATCGTTTAGTTCTGTTTACATGTTTTTTCGAGAAAACGCAATTTGTATTTCCCGGCAATGTCGGCATGCTCATTCTTTTACTACGATGTTGCTAATATTAGCAACTAAAATTTAATTTATATTTGCATTATTATATCGTTTTTTTTTTGTTTTTTTTTGAAAACTTATTGCGATTTATTAGTTGCATATTTTACACACGAACATCTTTACATTTGTCCTTGTTTGTTGTTGTAAAATGCACAGGATGTGATTGCTTATCTGCCAGTATATATAGTTCACACAGAATAGTTGACAAATCATCATCCAGATCCCCATTTCATCCAATAAGTCTATGTAGATTTTTTTTATAATATTGGTAGAGGTCATAGTGCTGTGGGAAAATTTTCTCAATGAGTATGAAACCTTTAGGAGATAGTACATATTCTAAGCATCTTTCCTTGCTGATAAACAAAGGCAGAAGTATTACAAATTAGGAACGTGTGAATCCCATTGCTAAGAGACTAAGAACATCATTGAGAAATGGTGAAAGAATGGCCTGCAAAAGGGTGACTTTAGGAGGACACAAGGAAGGCAGTCTAAAAGAAGCTATAATAATTAAATTAACTAATTATTATAGACATGACATTATCAATACCCGATGTACCTCAGATGAAACAAGCAGTTTATGCCACATCAGGCAATATATGTCTACTGATGCAAAGCCACAACATGGTACTTGCCCAAAAGAAGTCTCATCATGGTACTTTTATAATAAACAAGTTGTTGAAGGTAAAAAACCTAACAGTTATAAGAAAATGAGCTGAAAGTTATCCTCAGAAGTTGTGAAAATTTTTCCAGTTTATCAGAGGCTTGCATCTGCCCAGTTCCTGAAGCGCTGTGCCAGAGGACAAACACTGAACCCAAACAAATCCCTTCGTAGTGTAGTTCGGAAATACTGCCCCAAAGAAGTGCTTGTAACGACGAGTGAATCAGTTTCCATTTTTTCAGCATTTTTACTTGTTGAAAACATTGCAGTTACAAAAGTAAAGCTCAGTGAACAAAACCCATAGTGACATTTGTTTTAACAAAAGTTGATTACTTTTGTGTAATTTTGGGTGAAAATATGGGCAAGAAAGTACGTGGTGTTTTAGCCCCACAAGTTTGAACATTCAATAAATTTAAAAAATATGAATCATAATGACAAAACTAAATCTAAAGAATAATTGGCAATTTACAGAAATAGAATGCTTATTAAAAAAAAGGCAGAGTATGCATTGTAAAATTAAGTATAAATAATTGAAAATTTGCTGTTTCATATACATACTTTTTGACTACATGGGGAATATGTGTATTCCCCATATTGATATTCAGTCCTTGGTTACAAATCAAGAAATAAAAAAAATAATGGAGCATAAAAGAAAAAAAAGTTTGATAAGAAAATGTAAGAGAAGTGGGCACTATACCTAACAGACAAGGCTAGATGTAGATTAAATTTAGGGAGTAAAGCTTCATGGCCGCTCATGTAGTTTTCTTCAAGACTTTGTGTTTGTCCTTTTAGAGATGTAACTTGGAATTCTATGTGCCCTGTACTGTGTGTGATTGTATGATCAGTTGCAAAGCAATAATTGTTTCTTTCCATTTCTTTTAAATCAAGCTATTGCATTTGTTGCATTCATATTGTTGAGAGACTACAAAATATTGAAGATACACACAAATACTCTTTTTTGTCAATGTTCACTGAACATTTTAGACTGTTAATAACATTCATTTTTGCATATTTTCAGACTAATTTCACAGACATTTTAATTGTACCTTCATCACTGACACTATTTTTTATCAGATGTTAAATTCAACCTTAACACCAAATCAATATAAAAAGTAATATTTGATGTTATAACAAAACCTGCTTCATTCTGCCTCTTCCATGCCCCAAAACCCACCCAGTAGAACCAACTGCACAGCACTGTATTGTTCTCTAGAGGCTGCAATGTAATACATGATATTTCATGTTTCAGGTTGTTCAAGAAGAAATTCCCATGGACTGACCATGCTTTGGGTTAATAATGAAAGAAATCTTTTGTATATTTCATCTTTTGATTTTGTACAATGCATAACTATGCATTATTGATATTAGAAGTAAGGCTTGTTTTGCATTTTAGCATTAGTTAATTGATGTCAGTTTGTTTTTAAAACAATCAAATGTTTTCAGTTTCTTTTACAAAATTTCTTATTGAGATTACAAAACATGAATAAAATTCATATAAATTACATTTTTCCTACAACTGTTAAAAATTGTTCCAAAATATTTATAATGTTTTTATACAAAATTATAAAACAACATTAAGACCTTTATTCTCATTCTACCAATTAATCCATTTATTATTCAAAGTACACTTAATATTAATGGTGCCTGAGAAATAATATTTATTACATTAAATACAAAAATATATTAGAAGGAAATCTGAACATTGTACAGGAATTTAAAACTAAATGCATATAAAAAGTAATAAATATTGTTAGAGATTCATTCTAGCACATCAGTGTGCATAGTTAAATTGTTGCCCTAAATGGGAAGACACATTACTTGAAGATGGAGATTCCATCACCATTATTATAGTGGAGCATTTCATTCAGTAAAACAGTGTTAATTATTCAAATACCCTTAACACTTATAAATCCACTTTTTTATGAAAACATGAGCCAAGATATATTACAGCTATTTGTTTTACAATTTTCAATGCAAAGTAAGAAATACTACAACTCATCATGAATATCTTTATGGAAAGCTTGAAATGCTTTATGATTTTTCACATGTTTTGCTGCTACTGCCACCAGTCGTAAGAATTCATTCACATCAAATGAATAGTTTGTAAACTTAGCATGAGCCCCACCATCTGGATGATGTCCCTACAAGACAAATAATAAAGAAATGTATTAGGTATTATTCAGAAAAAGTATTTTATATTAATTTTAAAATGAAAAATGAAATGGAAGTCAACCATTCTTTCTTTAAAATATTCAAAATTATCACAAATTCCCAACCAAAGCAACACTTGAATTATTTTAGTTTTCATTTACTATTACATGAAAACAATTAAAACTGATTTACAGGACAATTATTACATTTTACCTGATCTTGTTGTTCTAGTTTACTTTTATCTTGCCATGTAATATACTTAACACCTCTTAAACGAGCAAGATCCATGTAGCATCCCTCATCTTCACAATTGTACCTGAACACACATAATAATAATAATAATAACAATAATTTGTGTATCTTATTAAAATTGTAAGGAAAAGAAAGAAGAAAAAAGTCCTTACAGCTCAAAAACAACAGCCCAATCAGGAAGAAATAACAGATGTGTCAAACCAGCACCATGAATTCCAATAAAAATATCAGTATTGTAAGTGATTTCTAACTGCTGCTTAAACTGAAGTTGCCTATTGTAGATAACCTGAATAAGAAGAACAAACCAAGTTAGATTGGTAGATTGAGCTAAGACATAGAATTTGAAAAGCCTGCTTAATCAAGCTTGCCCTTTTGACTTGGTAGTCTTCATTTTTTTTGAGAGCTGCCAAAAGTTCATTTTCATTTAGAATGTTTCTGTATGTAGTATTCCTGGACAGTAATGTTATTTGAATTTTATTATCAAAACGTTTATGTAAAGGAACTTTAAGTCTATGCAAAATATGTTTTGAAAATGCATGAAAAAGGCCACTTTTTTCACAACCCCAAATCTGAAAAAATACATTTATAAGTTATTAAACATCACTTCATTTTAAAATAAAACAGAAAGTGTTCAGTAAATCAGAAAAAGTTACTTACAATAGGAGTATTGTAAAACAGACCAAATATCATTCTTGGTAGCAGAGGAAAAACAATATTTTTGAAGCATACTGTGTCCCCACGAAATGTCTTAAGGTCCCAAACAGGATGATTAGTAAATGCCTCCCAAACAACCTCGAAGCTAGATTGATACGTATAGCTTTCCCAGATCAGTATATGCACATCACTGGAAAATGTACTGGGATGTGTCGAATTCATATGTAGTGATGCATAGAGATTCAAAAAATCACAGAAATGATGGTACATATTAACTGCTAAAATACATCAAATGTATTAAATAATTTAGTAATACTGCTTTCAGTTGGAATACTTTACAATATTTCACAGATTAATATTTTATTGCTTACTTGCATCAATTTTTAAAACAAATGTTGGTTTTTCAATGACAACATCACAATCCTTTTCTACAATGGGTCTTCTGGAAAGTTGTGTAAAATATCGTAATTCAGGTCCCCATGATTGAAGAGGACTTATGTGATCGCATTCTTCATCCAATCTTGACTTATGTAATCTGCATTTAAGAAATATATAAGTGGAATGATTGGTAGATAACAAAATGCCTAATGGATTTTAATGACAACAAACTTAATATTTTAGAGATCAATGGATTTTAGTCATATTTTAATAATAGATAACTTGTAATGTCCCATAGATGGATTTTCCCATCTTATTGCTAATTAAATGCTTAATGATACACATTAACATCTCACCACCATCCACCACAAAAAACAACACAAAACATGGTGCAGGATGATAGTCTATGCCTCATCATTGGATTATATTATTAGATTATCATTGAATTAGCTTTGACAAGGAAAACATACATTTCCAAAACATTAGTAAACTAGTAACTACCATATCTGTGTGATAAACCCTATTCATCTCTTTAACTTAGAGAAGGAAAAGGCGGTCCAAATATTTACAATTAAATTATTATTGAATAGCTGACAACAATAATTGTAAACACTAAATATTATAATATATAATTAGGAAGTTTTGCACAAAGATCGTTTCAAAAACCTGAGTTTACTTGTGCATGCCCCTAAATTAAGTAACTTGGGTTCAATAATCGTTTAGTTACATATATATTTAGCAAAAAAAGGAAAAAATTAAAACCTTTGTAATTTAATATATTGTTATCAAAATGAAATGGTACACCAAAAGTAAAGAATAATTTTATAAAATATGTATAATTTGCATTGTCTCTAGTGAACTCACTTTAAACTAACTATTGTTAATGCTTATATTTAGATTTTAAACTGCATCAAACATTGATGCAGATGCAATTGTAGGGCTGTTTACTTTGCCTTATAAGTTTTAGAATAAATGAAAAACCCCAGAGCACTTTAACTTTTACATTAAGTGGTTAATATAAAAATATAACTTAATCATAAACTATATACTTACTGACAATATCCTCCAATCTGCCCTTCTTTTAATACATCCATTTTGTACCTGATAGGCTCAGAACAAGAACTCAGGTCTGTAAAGTTTATCATTATATTGCGACCCCTACAAAATCGCAAATGCTTACTGCATTCTAAAGATGAATCGTCCTAAAATATTAAAAGAACAATTACAAAATTTTAAGTTAATAATTCTGGATGAAGTTTCCAGAGTACCTACCACGAATGTTGGTTCACATATAACCATCATTTCTTGAAGCTGGTCTTTTATATATCCAAAATCCCCCTGGGAGTAAAATGTATTCAATTGATCTTGTTTGGTCTTCACCCATCCTTTATGATCTCCTGGGCAAGATGGCCTGGAGTATGAATTTTGTGCTCTGCAACCATGTTCATACCCCCAGCATACATTTTTATCCAGTTCATCCTAGATAAGCAAAATGTCATTGAGGTTACATGATTTGGTGATCGATCCACTGCAGAATGCTTCTGATAGTTTCCTACCTTATATGGGCACTTTTCATCCTCCTTACATTTTTCAGCAACTGCTGGGTAGTTACTGAAATAAAAAGGTAGGTGTTCCTTCGGTAAATTTATTTCGGAAAAGTTAAAAGCATAATTTTGTGTAATGATTACTAGTAAACCAAAGAGAATCTGGTATGTGAAAATCCGACGTATACACCATTCGTTCTGAAACAAGAAAAATAGTTAATCATCTTTCTTTCAGCATTTCTTTACTATTTGCGCATAACCTTGACTGTGTTATAAATTCACCATTTCTACCCTCGTCATTCTTCACTTCAGTGTCACGTATTTTTTTAACTGCCAAGGCTTTCATGCATGTTACTCAAATTCGGTCAACTTCACAGTGGCGCAAATATCTAATTACACAAGTGCTCGCACGTGTTACTGAAGCCGGTCAAAAAAATAACACAACCCATGGCGTAAATGTCATGAAATTGAAATAAAATGAAACTGCCTTGACAAAGCCTAAAGGTTATGGAAGGCGCGCGTGGGCGCGACGCGGAACCTCGAGGAGCTTTTACACTCCAATTCTATTACAGTAACGTCTGACTTTTTGCCAGCTAACCAATCGGAAGCGTTATTCTGACATATTTTTGTTCATATTGAAACTCTCGATTGGGTAATTGTGTATCCGCTGATGGAACATCAGAATCATTATTCCTAAATTGGAGAACTCATATAATTGTTTTCCGAACTGTCAAAATAAGACAGGCGCGCATTCGAACTTCTGTCGTTTTTCATTTGGGGAGGGGGTCACATTATTCAGCACAAAATTACGTGTTGTGAATGATGGATCAGCCAAAACAACGAATGACTCCTCTATAAATGACACTCTCATCAATGGGGAGAGAAGAATCACATTTATTGTTGTTTTTTTTAAATTAAATTTACGACAGGAAAAATAGCGATTGTATGTACCATAATTGGAATGTTCAAATAAGACTCACTACTGTCAAATATAGTCTTAAACCAGCAACGTTTTGCTGTGCGCGCCTTGATCTAATTAGCAAGAGACGAAAACAAATTTTGCTTTCGGAGCAGAAGTCCTTAAATCGTTCTATGTAGATGATTTGCTTTATTCCTATAGTGACGTGTTATTTTCTAAGGAGAATTTACATAATTATTTGACATTTTAACAGCAGAAAGCTTAATAATAAATTAGTTTTCTAAAAGTAACATGAAATAATTACGAAGCCATGACTGATCATTCTCAAGGTACTCTTCAAATCTCGCGCAGTGAACTCAAGTTTTAAGCCTTCGCCGCCTCCAGGTGCAAGTTTGATGGGCACAGTGCGTTGACTGGTTTGGCGGGAATAGTGACGGCAGTCGCAATGGAGACGTACAACGGCGCGGACGGACGTGGCAAGTGTTTCACGAATCGCAGGCTCCAATTGATGCAAGAAAACGAAGTGTCACAAAGCTCCGCCTCAGGCGAAGACTATACAAGTAAGGTAAGAGCAGTTCAAGGAAACATGTTGAAAGAGAGCAAGACAGAGAAAGGGCAAGGTTGCCCATGGGTATAGCCAAAGCCTTCGTTAAATAACGAACAATCAATGAAGGCTTTTGTATAGCAGACCATGCAGGGCCGAATTAACTAAATAGGGGAAAGGGGCTAGGCTGACAAAGTTTGAGGGATCTAAAGGTTGTAAAAAAGTCAATGATATCATTGAAATTAATTTTTGTTGGGGACCCCTAGGCACAGCCGCTGCAGCCTCGTCTTAAATCCTACCCTGAGACCGTGTTATGGAAACCGTCAAGGACGCCAAAAAATCCAAATTTTTGCAGTTTTCGAAATTTTAGAGTTAACCATAACATCCACCTTTATAAGGGTATTTTTACAAGAAATTTAAAGAAAACATTTGGATCCATTTTTGAGAAAAATTTGAAAAAAGTATCCTGGAGTCTTCATGTAACGGATCCCCCCAATTTTTTTTTCTTTCAAAATTGCAGTTTCGACTCAGGCCACATGGACAGGGGTTTATTCAGTTTAGAAAAAATAACATGCATAGTTTAGTTGCTAGTGTTGTTCACATACACCGGACTGACGGACGTTTTGAAGAAAACAATTTTTTTTCGGAATCAGGGGACCCCAAAACGTGTATTTCCCTTGAAATATCAAAAATCGATTTTCCGTAGCGTTACAAAACTTTCCAAATACTACGTATATACGTATGTATTTTAATATTTCATCACATCTCTATAATTAAATCAACTATATTTTGCCTCTATTATTTATTATTCAATTCAATGGAGTGACTAGCTTTCGTTTTTACTAAGGTTTTGGGCGTTTGCATACTTACATTATCTCAGGGTTTCTCGTCTTTTCTCGTGCGCTAGAAAACACAGCTCATACGAGTATTCAGATGGTGATAATTTAATTATGTTAGGAAATATTCTGTTATCTATTTAACTAATCCTAATAAAAGATCAAACACCTTGTAATTTTTTATAAAATTATCAGCGACATGAAGTGCTGACTGTAGAAATACTCTTTATTTCAATATTCTATTTTGTTTTTAAAATTTGACAAAATATTATTGCATTTTCTCTACTGTTACCTGATTTAACGGAACCGAATATCAATTTAGAAAAACGATAATTTTTTTCTAACTTAATCTTATATCATAATTCAACATGTCTTGGCTTTGCAAAATTGTTTATAAAGTATTTTTGCAACTTATCGTTTAATTTTTCCTTTACGAAGATAGTTTAGCGATCATGGCGTTATGACGAGATCAGCGACTATTTCCTTATGTCCATGTTGGAGCTCTTCGTATTACCACACTGAATTTACTTTTTAAGTTTTGCCACTATTCGCTATCTCAATTTTTCACGAGTATTACTTTTTTCTCGCTAATCAATCGTAGTTCACTATTCCTCTATTCTCTAATACTTGTGGACCACATGTCCATTTTCTATCTCTCACAAACTCAAAACAACATTCTGTCTAAAGAGTTCGTTTTCACCTACGATATGTGTTAACAAGTTCACTTGTTTGATTGTTGTTCTTCGAATTGATGCATTATTGTCGCCCCTGCAACCATGCATCTAGACCTCTCTGGTCTTATATCAACAATGTCTCACATTTTTAATATCCTTTGTTTCCGATATTTTTTTAATTGTTCAAAATTCATTTAGTCAATACAATATTTTCATTTCCTGAAGTTTTGCAGTCCCGATGACTCATGATAATGTGTATCTTTACGTAATTCCTCTTATTTCACCTGTTATTTGGCATTAATATTTTTGCTTTCCGAATACAAAAATCCCTTTAGTTATTTTGCATTCCCTCAGTATACGGGAAAGTAAAAATTCACATACAACACACACACTCGCACGCACACACTCGCTCGCACGCACACACTCGCACGCACACACACACGCACACACACGCGCGCGCGCGCGCACACACACACACACACACACACACACACACTTTTTGCGAGTCACGCCCCGTCTCGCCTCGAAGCTCACCTTCTCAAGACTGGCAACTTCTGAAAGCTCAAACGTCTTCTTCAAACGTCCCAACACTGCTACAACAGGAGTTTAGCTTAATTTTGCAAATTTAGCAACTTTTTGTACTAGCAAATTCGAATTTCCTGCACTTCTTTCGATAGAATCTTGCAGAAGATATGACGTTACAATTTAACGATGGAAAGGCCGCGACATAGCAGATTGATATTCTCAGAGTAACTTCTCATTGTTGGGCGGCGTATGTAGATGAACGGAACGGAGTTTTACATTGATGAATGTGTTGATGTAGTACCTTTGAATGAATTAATTTTTTGTGCCTGATGCTCTACTATTGGTAGTAAGTTTTTCAAGTGTCGGCTGAGATATATTAATAAGGGCAGACATTGCGGTATAATAATTTTACGTAACTGTACTGATGCGAGAAAGTACGTGTTTTTGTAGCACCCGAAGTTTGTTTCTTCTAGCATAGTTTAATTAGTGGTGTTCCAACAGCACGTATTCTCTCGCATTATTTGTAAAGTCTACGAAGTATTACAATACTACTTGAACTTGGAAAAGTGTTTCCACGCAACAAAGATTATTTATGAACGCTTCATTTAAAACTTGGGCCCTTAGGTTTTTCAGACCATTCACATTGCACTACACTACCAGCCTCAAATCAAAACTTAACTTTATCGAAAACGAAGTTGAACATTTCCATTTGCAATTGTCAAAAATTCAGAGAATTTAATGAGTATTTCAATATCTAGTTTTAAATAATAGATTTCATTGCAAATATCTCAATCGTCAAAATTCTAGAACACGCAGATAATTTTGTAACCTTTCGTAATTTTAGAAAATACAGGAGATAAAAGAAAATGTGACGTGCTCCATTTTCGTAGGTGTACTCTGGCCTATTCGAGGGGAAAATTTAAAGAAAAAAAAATAGAAACCATTTTCGATAAATTTTTGAAAATTATTTGAAGTTTCATTTGAAGTACCTACACTCAAATGGGTCGGATCAAGTGGGCAGGATCTCGAGTTCGGCCAGATCAATCGTGTGTGTCAATTTGGAATTTAGGTGTTAGAAGTGAGTAAAATCGGGCAGAGACACATGTTTAGCCATACATCTTTTTTCCGGAAGAAGGATCCACAAAACCTAAATTATGACTACACTGCAATTTTTCTAACTCTCAGGGCTCTACTTCACGGTGACATTATGTCTGTTTTTCGTGTCTTTCTCCATTAGTTCGGTCCCCTAGATGTGGCATGATCGCCACGTATAACAGTGGTGTAAACTGCCACGAGTCACCGTGAAGTAGGGCCTTGACGGGTAGAGGTAGACAAATCGCAAAATCGTGTTATAGGAAGTAATTTACTACATTTAGTAGTATCTATTTTTTGGATATGTGGCATCACAATACAGTTTTGCTGACGAAATATCGCCACTTTTCGCTGCAGCATTACAATACGTTCTACGTAAGTACGCACTAGGCAAGAAAGTAAAATGTGTTTTCATTCCACCACAGCATTTGGTTATATTACGGTATGAAAGGGTGACAATCAATGAAGTTTAAATAGTGACGAGCAGAGATGTGTTGTTGGGCGAGAGGTACAGGCTGCGTTCGGGAGGGCATCAGGCGTCGCCGGTCAAGTCCACGTCGGCGTCGGCGCGCGCCTCGCCCTTGGCGGCGTCGCCCTTAGGGGCGTTGCCCTTGGGCCCGGCACCCTTGGGGGCGGGCGCGGTGGCGTCGCCCATCTGCGCCCCTGCGGCTACCCCTGCACACAATGCACACGCGCACACTTGATTCATTGAATGGCTGGTTAGTGATTCCGGACGTATCAAATGCTAAGGTCATTATGTACACGTAAGCTTCCGCGGCTCGAATCCGTAATTTCTCGGCTATCCGGGAGACGCCGCGTCGTTGGCTGGGAGGCCAACCACGTCCCGTCACAGCCCGTGGGCCCGTCGTTGGCTGGGCAAGCCTCCCAGCCAACGACGCGTCGCTCTCCGGTATAGACGAGAATTTATGATAAGGTCATTAGTTCCGGTTGGTTTCCGCATGTTTGCAACGCGGGAGGGGGCTGTGATCTTTCTCTTCGATGTGATCTCCCC